GGACAGAAATCTGCACCTTTTCTTGCCTAATCAAGGAGTAAATTTATTCCGAAAGGGAGGCGCAGCAAAGAGGGAGGAAGGGAGGCACAAAGAAATCCCCAAAGCTCCTCAGCCGATTGTGGGCTTCACTGGTTCAGATCTCTGTTTTTTTTCTTCTTCTGCAGGGTCTCAGCTGTTAATTACATTTGCCTGTCAGCCTCGCCTGCTAATCTGCTATCACTGAGCGGAAAGCAGGAGGTCAGACAACAAAGGTGACACCATCACACTGTGCCTCTTGTCATCTCCAATCCAGATTAGTTTCATTGACTAACTCCTGGCTGAATAGCACCAGTTAATTATAACGATCACAAACCCTCCCGTTTAAAGCCACACAGCGAGAATTAAGGTTCTGAAGTAAGACTTTAGCTTCATTAATTGCCCGGCTCATTGTGGCGGTATTGATTGTTAACGCTAGCGCGTGGTGAGTAATGGCTTCCCAGCTCAGAGGGGATTAGGTGCTAATTGTTGTTGGCCTTGCGCTGACAAGATAGACCTCAGAGGGTGTCAAATCCGTATCGGCCGCCTCCTTTGTCATGGGCAGCCTTTCTCTCCCTGACGCTCCCCGAAGAGACTCAGGAATAATTAATAGGGCTCGGCAGCTAATAACGCCTCTCCACACACCGCCATTGGTAGGATTCCTCCGCCACTCGCCCCTTCGTTTCCCCCATCCCCAAGCCTGCCCGGATAGCTATGCCGAGCCCATCTCCACTTCCCATGCTCCTCCCCTGCTGCTCGGCACCAAGCTCCGTGCTCTCTCGGTGGCTCGGAGAGAGTTGCTGGGCTCTGCGTTGCCACCGGAGCATGGGGAGCAATAGCGTTAGAGAGCCCACAGGTGAATTAGGGGAACATCTTATCTTAGAGCTTTATCCTGCCGCCCGTCACCGTGACATCTGGGCACCTTCCACAGAAAACAGTAGTGCTAGTGACGTCACGGAGTCTGCCAGGCCCAGATCCGTGCCAAACTCCCACTGAACTCACGACACGGCGTTTCCTTTGTCCTGCCAAGCGGGCGCAAGGTGTGCAGGCTCCAGTTCTGAGTTACAAGCCCTGGGATTCAATCCAGCTCTGTGCCAGCCTCATAGCTGAGAGGCGCCTCGTTCAGCTGGGATGCCATTAGCGACGTGCTGGGGGAGTCGGACCGAATTGCAGAGCCCAGGCCGGTCGGGACACCTGATGGCTGAGAGCAGCCTCAGTTCCCTTCCCGTCGGGGAAGCAGCCGTCTCGCTAAGTCCACTCTCAGAATTGGTGCTAATTAGCAAACTGTGCTGTAAATGGATGCAGCGCCATTAACTTTGTTGGCCTTTTGCCCATTTCCACCAGCAAAGAATTTGGCCCCTTGTTGACGGGCTGAGCAGAGGAGCCAAGGATTGAACGGGCACTGGAAGTGGTCAATGCTGAAGTGCATTGGCAGAGCGACTTGGGGTCACTGCAGCCCACGCTGCTCCTGCTTCTGTCTCCACGGCCATACAGCGGTATCTTTCAGGAGCACAAAATTCACACATCCCAAAGCTTGGCCTGTCCTTGCTCATTTTTACATGCTAGCAATTTGCAGTGAAGCACATGATGAGCAATGCGTGCCCTAGTTAGCATCCCATTTGTATTTCTGGCCCTGCCTTTCCCTTCTATATGCATTGCTCTCGGTACTTTAATTCCATTTCGGAGGTTTTATTTTTCCCTTGCAAATATCACCGGCATCCCCGGGGTGGGTATAATTTAAAATACAGATGTATTATGCAAATAATGCCAGAGCCTTGCCCCAGGGTTACAAAGAGTGACTCGATTTATCCCAATGCCTGCGTCTGCGAGCGCCAGCGCTCACTCAAGAGTAACTTTTGCAGCCTCGACTGCAAGTGTTGGCTAATTTTTCTTGAAAGAAAGCGGTCACCCTCTCGGGTCACTGTGCCCCCACTTGTGTGCCGCGAAGGGCGTCCTTGGCAGCGGGTGCTGGCGCCACGCAAGTGGCACCCTTTTGCGCATGCTTGGCATCCCTGATGCCCCTTTCCCGTCTCCAGTGCCAGAGATGAATGTCCATGCCGCTCAGTCAGCCAAACTGAGGGCTGGAAAAATTCTCATGTTGGCTCAAAGCTGGAATATCAGGACTTTGCATTAGGCGTCTGGAGCTGCCCCAGCTTTGCCTGTGTGGAGGGTGGCGTATTGTAGACTGGGTGCCCCTGGGAAGGACACACGTACTCATACAGCGTGTTATCAGCCACAGGGAGTTATTGAGTTAAATAGCATGGCAGGGTTTTAAAAGGGACTGGAACATTTTCTGAGCAGCGATAAAGCTTGTAGTTCTGTGTATTAGTCTAATCTCCGTGCTTCAGGGCGTGGGGTGATCACTGTGGAGGTCAGGAAGGAATGTGTTTCCTCGTTTACCTAGAATGGCACTGCTAGCTGGGTTTGTTGTGAGGGGGTTTGTCCTCCTCTAATGCCACAGTCATAGTCCCCTGCTAGAGGGTCAACAGGGGAACTGAGGGGCTGACCTGGAGAGCCAAATCTTAAATGACTACCCCACCATATTTGTAAGTTACTGCAGCCTGCTGCTAAACTCTTCTCGTTCCGCTGGGGAGGGCATGGAAGACGGCTCAATTATCCTTGCTGAGATTTGAACCAAGGATCTTCCTATCCGAAAGCAGCATCTTTGACTTCTGAACTACAAGAGGAAGTTGGTGAGCTGCTCGTGACAGTAGCACTCGTGTCCTCTGCCCCCAGGACCTCCAGCTGGCAGAGGGGATCTCATTGCCCAGTGTCGGATTAGACATGGCACCAGAGGACACAGAGGGGCCGCGGGGAGAACTGTGAGGCACATTTTAGCCTCCCTGTTGGCCATGCAAGAGAACTGCCGTGAGTGCGGTGCTTGGGGATGGGCTCTGGAGAATAAGACCACGGTCGGGAGCAAAGGCTGTTAGGGGAGATATTCCCCTCTGCTGTCACCACCCCAGCCGGCTGTTCCTTACCGGGGGCTGGCGCCGCTGGCTGCCTGATGGGGAGATCTGTGATGTGAGGCTGCACAGACATAGCCGCATCATGGAGCAGCCCCGGTGACCCCTGTCTTAAGGCTCAGCAGAGCTGTCTGTTTGAGAGACGGTTTTTCCAAGTGCTCTCAAGCCCCCACGGTTGGGCAGAAGGCCTTGAAAATCCCTCCACCGCATCGGGGCTTGGGGGTGAAAAACCAGGGTCCTTCGGAGGCAGTATGTCAGGAACTCCAGCGCTCCCATCCCCCCAGCAACGGACCTGCTGACCAAATATGCCAGGCCCTGGGGGAGAGGACAAGGGGCAGGATCCTCATGCACCGACCCCTGTCCTCTGCCAGCGTCTGGCACCACTGAAAGCCGGGCAGCTGCCCCGTTTGCACAAAGACGTCCTCGGTGAGTGACTTCAGCCCAGCTTGTCCTCGAGTGTGGAAGCCCTCTCCTGGCTGTGGTGCTGCCCGGGCCAGGCGGGACTGACGCGAGGATCCATTCCCGGCCATTCGAACAGCGTGTGGCAAAGCCTTGTAACGCTAAGAGGATGCTTCCCAATGAGAACCGCAGCACACACGCTCACAGACAGTGCCGCGTGCTGAATAAAGGGGTATTGAATTATAAATAAACAACTAATGGCTTTTGATGCCTCTGACCCCTTTCAGCAGCAGCACATCTCCTGCGTGGTCGTCCTGCTCCCGCTGGAGCCTCTCTCGCCATGGGCAGGGAGCCAGCTTTGGGGGGCTGGGCAGGAGTAACGGTCTCTTATTAATAGCACTGTACATCGAGACTCATTGCCATGATGTACTTTACGCCCTGGCTGTGGCGGAGTGCCTCCGCCACTGAAATGCAGCCACTTCTGGGGTGAAGTACAACAGCCATTCAGGCAGCCCAGAGCAAAGGGTCATTCGCCTGAGCAAGGCAAAGTAGAGTCTGTTTGAAAACAAACATGGCTGCTGCACTCTCTGGCTGCTGGATCTTCTGGTGTGGGGTTGGGGAAGAGGGGTGTTAATAGGTCCTCAGACGTACACAGTAAATCCACTGCACGGATCCCTTCTTTAACCCCCTGGGAAATGTACCCACCTTGCTGCTATAACTGCCTCCCGCAGGCACTCTTATTCCACTAGTGTTTGTACCACTTCCAGAGTGACATGGGATGTATGTGTGCGCGTAATTATCATTATGCCGGGGAATTGTCCTGGGTAGACATGTCCTGAGGTTGCCTTCATCCATCTCCTCCTTTCCCTCACCTCCGGGATCTTCATCCATCTCCCCCTGTCCCGCACCTTGGGGATGGCAAAGATCCGCTCAGCCCGGCATGGGCATTCATTGCCTTGTCGGGGCGGAGCTGCCACCTGCTGGGAGTCTAACCCACACAGCAGCATTGCGATGTGGGGGTGTCTTGCGGTGGTCGCTGTGGTGCCTGGGTTCTACCAGCCCTGGTACTCACCCAGCGTTTCATTCAGAGGCCTGCTTGATAAGAGAGAGGTCCCCTCCTGGCCCTTCTCCCTTCCCGGCCATAGATCTGGCTTTGCAGATTATATCCTATGGGCCACCAGGCAGGGCTCCAGTGGTGGCCGTGCCACTGGACTAGTTGGGGCATTGAGGATAGATGGTGGCCCTCCATGGGACTCTGAGGACCTTTCCTAGTGGCCCCGACACTCCGGGCCCAATCCCTCCATACCCATGGCAGTCAGTGGCCATTGTGGGTGCGAAGTAGCTCACAGGAATCCCTCAGCACCGCGTAGGATGGGGCCCTCGGTGATGTGCTCTTGTATGCTTCTGTTCAGAGAGGTCAGCGGCTCTGAAGGGGGGTTGCACAGGATGTGATCTGCTAGCCCAGTTTGTGGTCTCTGACCCAGCTAATGGTGCCACCAAATCCACAGCCTGGCGATCCGGGGACAGGGCTGTTGTCAATGAGGTTTAATGGGTGATGTGCTACTATTAAGGGTTTGTTAAAGGTTTCCCTTCTGATCCCCTTTCTCGGTTTCTTTAAAGGGTCTTCGATAAGCAGCGAGTCTTCCCCCGTCTCCTCGCCAGCCACCAACCACAGCTCCCCTGCCAGCACACCCAAGCGAGGACCCATGGGCCCCATCATCGTCCCCCCTGGGGGGCACAGCGTGCCTAGCACACCCCCCGTGGTGACCATCGCCCCGACGAAAACGGTGAACGGGGTCTGGAGAAGTGAAGGCAGACAGGTAACGTTTCTGTGTGTGTGTGTGTGTGTGCACACGCTTGAATCTTATGAGGGACAGACACTCTCCTGCTTCAGGGCATAAACTGGCTTCTAACTTTTGGGGTCAGGAGGGAATTCTCCCTGCAGGCTGGTTTATCCCATCAGTGCAGGGATCTTACACCTTCCTCCGAAGCAATTGGCCCCGCGGGATGCCAGAGTCGATGGGCCAGAGATCTGACCTGGTGCAGCAGTTCCTTATCCAGCGCCACAAGAATGTGTTGACTCTCCGCAGGGGTGTGTGCTGTGTATGCAAGCTCAGAGGACAAAGCCACATGTGTGCACAGCGCTGTTTACTTTGTGCGTGTATCTGATACCGGGCACAGAAGGAGACTGGTGGGAACTTTGCTCTCAAGCCAAATGTTTTTGGTTCCAGTGCCAAGAGTGATAAAAGGTGGTGGGAGCGGGGCAGCCTTTGTCTCTAATCTCCATGCAGCCTGCAGTAAATATACACCCACCAAGCAGGCCCTCGCCCTGTGGCTCCCGGCACCCCAATCTGACTTGGTTTGTCCTAGGCTTCCCTTCCTGTTTCTCCCCCCCGCCCCATGCCCATGCTGCAATCTGGGTAGGAAGCGCTTGCTAATTAAGAATCATTGTTAGCGGTTCTCCTCGCCTGTATTTTACGGCGGGTTCCCGGAGGGATTACACCACTTGGAAATACTAATTAAAACACAAAGACGAGAGGGGAAGGAAAACAAAACTCTTGGTGCTTCAAGGGACGCAGGCTCTAATCCCACAAAGCAGACCCCTCTGCCAGCGCTTTGGGAGGGGCAGGGCGCTCACAGCACCTCTCTCTCAGCCTTCCCCCTCCTGGCTGCTGACTTGATTGTTTCCCCCCCCCAGTTGGCTGCCTCGTAAGAAGTGACCTTTTTAAAATATAGGTTAACCAGGTCTGGTTTATTGTCTCGCGTAGCTGCGTCCCAGCCTGGCGCCTGGAGACGAGGAGGTAATTGCCGCGTGCACAATAGGCTTTAATGCGCTAGGATGGTAAAGGAGAGAAGAGGCCATTCCTGCTCCTTCTGATCCACCCCTGCCCTTTGCACAACTCGCTGGAGGGGACAGCTGTGTGCAAATCCCTTAGGGCCGCGGCCCTGCAAGCCAGTCTGCGCAGGGCAGCCCCTGGGTGGAGCAGTGCTGGGCCCGGAGGTCCACACGGATCAGTGTGAAGCTTGGGCCCTTACTGGCTGCATGCCTCAGTTTCCGTAGCTGTAACACGGTGGTAATTGGGACCCCCAGGGGACTGGCAGAGGGGCGGTAGTTAAAGGTTGCAAAGCGTGAGCTGGAAGCTGCTGTGTCACCCTCACAGCCCCCCGGAGAGGCAGGGCAGGGCAAGTCCCCATTGTCCATTCGGAGGGCCAGAGAGGCTGAGTGACTTGCCCCAGGTCGCACAGGCAATCTGTGATGGAGCAGGGACTGGCGCCCTACCTATTGGGCCACCCTTCCTCTCCGCTGGGCGAGAGGAGTGATAGCGATACGTAGCATGTCTCGTCTGTAGCCCTCAACGCGCTTTACAAGGGAAGGCAGGTATCCTCAAGCCCATTTCACAGATGGGGAAACTGAGGCTCAGAGAAGTGATTTTCTCCAGGGTCATGCAATGAGTCAGAAATCGATGCCACCCCCTCACATCCTTCCCCCCCCCCATCTGCCATGATCCCTCCTCTGGCCCCTGCTGCGGGGCAACCGACCCGAAGGGAGATGGTTTCAGACTGAGCCATAGGGGACACATTCTTTACAGGGCAAAAGGATCCTGGGGGAGCAGATGAAGGTCCTGCTGCAGATAGCCAGGACCCAGCCCCCATGCTGTGACCTGCCCCAGAGATCACCTTGGACTCTGCCCCCAAGAATACTGCCTCGCCTTGGCACCGTGTCCCTTCACCTCCCCAGCTGCTTGGATCTTGTCTCGCTGCCCCCATCCTGAGTCTCTCCTTTCTGCAAGGCCCTTTGGCGTTGGGGGGGATATTCCTGTCTACACCTACATCCCACTGGGTCAGTGACCCACACCCTGTGCCGAGAGCCGTGGGTGTGGGTGGGGCTTTCCCCTTTCCCAGTGAGCTGCACAGCCGTGCCGGGTGAGAGCACTGGGGGCTGGCGTTACTCTCCCCGCTGGGTCCCATTACCCAGGGGTCAGTGCGCTGCGCTGAGCCGTCTGCCCCTGCTCTAAGCTAGGGGGAAGCGACAGCGTAGCCCAGGGACAGCAGCGCTCGGGAACCTGCCTTCTCTATTCTAGAGGCTCAGAGAGGGTCGGGGCCTCCCGAGGGGGAGAGGACACAGTCTCTAGAGGGAGAGCCAGCATCTCCATGCCCCCGGGTGGCAGTGCAGGGTGGAGGGGGGCATGTCCTCTCCCCCTCGGGAGGTCCACACCCCGGGAGGCCCCTACTTCCCCCATTCTCTGCACATCACCCCAAACGGAATGGGGGAGAGGCCGGGCCACGCCTAGACTCCTCCCTGCACCAACTCAGAGCTCGTCCAGGCTGGTGGATTCCCCTGTGCCATCCCCAGTACCCTATTGTCCGTGTCCTCACAGCCGAGTGAGTACTAACGCCTCCCCCCGGCTGCTTGCAAAGCATCCAGTGCCCCACGAGATGGGGCCGGGACAGATCCGCTCCAGCGATTCATCGCCGCAGCGCTTAACGAACCACTAATGCTGCCGGGGAGAGCTGGGAGGGAGCTGGGACTGGATTAACAGATGATATATGGCCCTTCAGTCGCTGCACAAAGACTCAATTGAGGGTTTAATCCTCTCTTTGGGGGCGGGGGAAACAGAGAGAAATAACTTCATAAAGTTAGAGGGGCAAGTCACTCGCATCAGCAATGCAGAAATCAAAATGGGGAGCTGAGCAGCCGATCCATCAGCAGCCGCTTCTCCAGGGTTACCGAGATTTCGCCGGTAATGGGGAGCCTTTGAAAGGCCCGATTAAATGAAGAATAGTCTATTTTAAACCTAATAGGGCATGTCCTGCATTCTCACTGGCGGAGATCACTCGCTAATCGCCAGGGAATGACGGATTTCTTTTCCCCCCCCGTCTCTCCTCCTCTCCTCCCCTTTCATCATCACAGCCGCCGCTCCGAGACAGCAAATCAAACGCAGGCCGTCCGGTGCCACTCTGAGCCCTGGGAAGCTGCCATGGGTGTGCCGTGGCCCTGGTGGCAGTGCTGTGCTTGGGGGCGTGTCGCCAATCCAGCTGGGGAATGAGGAAGGGCTGCCCTGTTTGCCCCAGGGCAGGATATCTCTGACTCATGTGACCCAGGGACATTCTCATTTGCCTTCGCTTTCTTCTCTCTGCCCCACGCTGGGCTCAGGCCCTGGTTACTCCTCTCATCCATCCGTCCAACCTAGCAGCTGTCAGCCCCTTCCGGACAGGGCATCATCTCCCATCAACCCCAAATCTACCCAGGACCCTGCTCCCTTTCTGCCATATAGGAAGAGCAGGGATGTTAGAACACCCTGATACCTGTTTGTGTCTCCTTTGGGGGTCCCCAGGTTGAGAACTCCTTATTCCTAAAACAGCTGGCACCCCAGATCCTATCCCCTGGGGCACCCACTGTTTCCCCTTGCTCTCTGCCTGGTTGAGCCCATGTTTGTTTCTGAATGGATTATTGCTAAGGGTAGGCTGGGTGTACAATCTGTGTCCTTCCTCTCGGGTCAGTACTGCCCGGTGACACGGAGAGGGGAGTGACGGGTTTGTTCTGACAGGCACGATAGGCTGGGCGGGAGTTTTCCCTTCTCCCTCCCTCTCTGGCCCTGCCCTGCTGTCACTGATCCCCACCTTAGCCCCCTCCTTCAGACTCCCCAATGCACTGACCGGGTTTTGATCTAAGGAGATGGCGACCTTAGTCCTGTATTAGGAACAAAAATCATCATTGCATTATAAACGGATGAGCCGGGGGCGCCTGCTGCCTGGGAGGGGTGGCCTGTCCGCAGGGCTTGCTTTCCTGGGCCCCTCCATGCAATGCCTGACTAACCTGTTTGTTTTATGGCCGTTATCAAAGGCCTGCTGGATTTATACTTGCTGTGCTGTTTCAAGCTCCATAGGCGTCTGTATCCTCCCTGGATGATTAATGGTGCCGGAGAACAAAGCTGCCTGTAAATCTAAAGGCAGGTGAAATGTGGGCCTGCTGCTAGCTCTCCTCCCTCCCACTCGCTCGCCTGCCTTATCTCAACCCCGGGCTTGATGGGAAGGGAGCTACACACAGACACACACCCCGTTGTGGGCCCCTTCCTGCTCATCCAGATCTGGGCCTTTCTCAGAGAGGCCCAGAGTTGCTGGGGTGTTGTCGGTGGCGTTGCACCGAGGTCACCCTTTGGCTCATGTTCATCTCCCCGATGCCCTCGCCCCCTGCCTGCGAAAGGCAAGGGCGGCCGCTCCATATGGCCCGTCCTCTCCAGCCCCGCGGCGTACGTGTTTTGTTCCAGTCGAGTCGCCCTGACCCCTCCCGTCCAGTCATATCATTATCCCAGGAACGCGCCTTCTGGAGAAGGTCAGAGGTGGCCCACTGGGCACGAAAGAGGCCAAACGTGGGGGTCTGGGTGCCTACAAGGCGCAGAGAGTGAACAGATGTTCCTGCTCATTAAAAATTCCCATCAACGGGTCCCATCTCTTTCAATTAATTATGGCCGATGTGTCTTCTGAAGAGATTATGAAGTCTTGAGGAGCCATCAGCTGCTCGCGGAGTGTGTGCTGTGGTGGTGTTTAGTAAATACACTTGACTGATGAAGGCAGTTCCCCCGATGGTGCAGCACAGCCTGGCCCAGTGCTGTTTAAATCTTATCCGCTGTGTGTTCCAAGATGTCACTATCTGGGGATATGAAGATGGATGGGCCTCCGTAAGAAGGGCAGACTATGCAAAACAATGCTCCCTCTGTCTCCCTGGGAGATAAATTCCAGACAGGAGGAACGGCTGGCTCCTGTATCAAACTGCCTTCTCCTGCAGGATGATGTGCGTCTGGAGTGAGGGCAGGAGAAGCTTAGAGAGCGACTGAGCACCTCCAGCATACAGGCAAGGTCCGTGGGCAGCTGGATGCATGGATTGCCGCCATGTTGCACAGCACCAAGCCCATGGGAATGGTTGGGGAGCTGGTGCCCACGTAGCGCTCAGCTCCGTTCCTGTTGACTTCCCCAAGAGCTGAGAGCAGCCTGCAGGAGGCGCTCTTCACCTTGCAAGACCTGTGGCATTGGCTGGAATTGTCCCCACTAGCACCCTCCACTCCCCCCACAGCCAGTCCATAGCCCTCCCTCTCACAGACCGTTCACTCTGTTCTGCCATGCGGTTTCTTTCTTTTCCCCTCCATGACTGTTACCATCCTTTTTTTCAAAATCACGGGTTAGGAAATGAGTAGCCCACGTCCATCTCCAAGACAGGTTTGCTGGAGCTCTGAAAGCCCCCGACTACTGTCCATCTGGCTGCCGGTCCTTGGTACCGGCTCCCTGCAGTGCATGAAGGATGTGCTGTCGGAGCCGAAGGCCCCGAGCGAAGGGGTTTGCATGGAGTCTCGTTGGCATCCCATGTAAGAGCTGGGCGAGAGCCATGTTTGGAGAGGGGGAAATCTGCAGCACAACAAAGGGCTGACTGAGCAGGACTCCCCAAAACAGCAGGGTTGTTTAAGTGAAGCGGGACAAGGGAGAGGAACACCGTGATGGCCAAAGGGCCACCAAAGTACTTAGCAGTCCAGTACCAACGTTGGGTGCTGCTGTGACCACATCATAGGGTCCCAAAGATGGCAGGGCAACCCCACCTGATGGTGTAAAAAAAATTCGAGTCCAGCTGAGAATCCCGTTACCCAATAATACATGTGGGCTACAGTCATTGTATTGTCCTTGGTAGCCCATTGGGCTATAAACTGTCCACAGCTGCAGTAAGCCATTGCAAACAGAATGGTCTCCCTGCACACGGTGAGAAATCCTTAGAGCAGCTGGAGGGAAAGAGGTAGGTGGGGACTCCCAGGTCTCGTCCTGCAGGGGAAGGAGCTCACTGTCTCTTAGAGTCCTAGATTGCAAGGCCAGGAGGGACCCTTGTGATCACCCCTGCACAGCACAGGTGAGAGACCCGCCCCTAAATCATTCCTAGAGCCGAGCTTTTAGAAGAAACATCCCATCTGGATTTTAAAATGGCCAGTGACGGGGACTCCACCACGGCCCTTGGGAACCTGGTTAATTACCCTCACTGTTAAAACCGTACGCCTTGTTTTCAAAAGCAGAGTGGTGTCTAGTCCTGGACAGGAAGGGGTTAACAGGATGAATGACTTAACAGAGTGCTCTGAAGAGGCTGAGTTTGTCTTGGGATCCCTTGGCAATTCAGTGTGTCAGCGTTTCCCCAGGGACTGGGGAAAGGACTCTCGGCAAGGAAAGGGTTAAGTCTTTGATGGCGGTGTTAACTGTTTCCTTTCCGGAGCAGGGCAGTTGTCTGAGCCCCCAGTGAAAGGGCTGGTGGGGATGGTGGTTGGCCTGTGTTTCTTTATGAAGCGGCTCTGGAAATGCTCAGAAGACCCAGCACCGGGAGGGGCCAGGGAGGCGCTTGAACTCTGATTTTGACTTCTTTTGACATCTCTGAACTGCTTTTCCGCCTCAGCACACATCCAGGGTACCGCTGAGCGTCCGCTCCTGCAGAGCCATTAGAAGGGTTTTATCCCTTTCAAGGGGCCAGGGAGAGCCGGAGAGCGCTGCTTGGCTCCCCGCCAGGGGCAACGCACGTTAAACGGGCCTGAGCAACATGCAGGCTCGGCAAAAATAACATTGCTGACATTTAATATTGCATGTCCTCGGCCGGGAGCCGCGCTGGGTCAGTGCTCGATGGCCGGGAGCCAGCGTTGGAGCGTGGCAGCCCCTCGGGAGGGGAAACGGTTCACAGAATGGGATTTCCTTCCAAATCCAAACAAGGAGTAGCCCATCGAACAAGGCCTGTCAGCCAGAAAAGCCCATGAGCTGGTGAATATTTGATCACCCGATGGTGCGTTGTAGGGTGCATGGGCTTCCTGCATTGTCCACCCTGCCGGCAGGAAGCTTGTTAAGAGGACAGGCTCCGTCCTTTGGCCTGGGGGCCCAGTGCGTGCGGTAGTTAGGGCAATGGCTTGACACTCAGGAGACCTGTGCTGAATTCCCAACTCTGCTGCGTGGGCGGGTCCCTCTTTGTGCCTCGCTTTCTCCTCCCACGCTTCGGCAGTTTGGAGCATGGGCTCGTCACAGCAGGGTTTTATAGCTGCTAGGACCCCCAGTTGTGGCTCGTGGCCTCAATGTGCTAGGTGCTGTACAAACACAGAACAGACAGACGCTCCCTGCCCCAGTGGGGTTAGGATGTTTTGTGCCGTGTCCAGCGCAGCAGAGCCGCTTCTTATTGGCATGATTTCAGTGAAAGGAGCTTTTCCCCTTCATTTCGGTTTAAACATTCCCCCGCCGGGTTTGCTGTCGATCTAGGTGCTATCTGGCAGCTTCCAAACGCATTGGCTGTATTCTCCCTCCCTTCACTCCCTTCACCTCTCTTCTTCCTGCTTCCCTTCCCTCTCCCCAGGTTCTTTCCTTAGCTCTTCTGAGAGCCAGCCTGGGCTGCGGCCCTGGGAGCAGTGCCATCCCGAGGCCGCAGAGAGGGCAAGAGAGCCCCTGCCCAAGGGGTTCTGCAGCAATGGAGGCTGGGGGGCAGGGTTAGCCCCACAGCTCAGGTACAGAAGTGGGTTCAGTGCCCACCTGCCCTTACAGAGCTCCATTTTCCTCCCAGTGGTTTCTCCCCCACCAGGCCCTCAAAGATTGCGGAGAACATGCAGCATGTGGGCGCTCCCTGGGCCATGCAGCCCTACCAGGGAAAGGAGGAAAGGCTGCGGTGGCAACAGCAGCCCCAGTGCCTCCTTCCCTTATTTTCACGTGTGCGTCGGTGCTGCCAGAATAGCTGTGACAGCACAGGCAAGCAGCTGCCTTCGCAGCTGATATCAGGGCCGCTTAGGGGAACTGCTGGTTACAGACCAGCCTGCCCTATCCCGGCAGGAACGCCAGCTTCCTAATGTCCTCTGTCTCTCTCTCTCTCTGTGTCAGTGGTGCCAGAATAGCTGGGATGGCAAGCGAGCAGCTGCCATCCCAGCTGATGCCAGCCTTACTCCAGGAATGATCTGCTGGCGTGCGTGCGAAGGAGGGCCCCGTGCGGATCGCTCCCTCCTCCCCTGGAGCTCAGACATATTGTCTTTTCAGCGTGTCCGCGGGTCTGTGCGTTCTCAGCCCAGTAGGGATGGTGGTTACCACCAGCTGTTTCCAAACCCTCCTGATTTTATTTTTCGTACATTATTTAAAACTTCGGAAAGGTTTGGAAGCGAGTGTGTGTATATAAGTGTGTGCACATGTGCAGTCCTGAAATCCTTCCTCTGTTCGCCCTCTGGCAACATTCCCATCGGGTCAGCTCCTGAAGCACTTCCATCTCCTTTTCCACCCGCCGGTTTTCCGAGCTGATGGGCACTCGCAGAGTCACTTGTAAGTCAGGGGGATCTGCGTGCGCTCAGCCCTCCTGAAGATCAGGGCCACGGGTGGGTTTATTGAGCTGAAGCACTTCTCCCTGGATCTAGGCGCTTCAGATCAAAAATCGCTGGGCTCGCCTAGCAAAGAGCCAGAGTGACCCGGCCTTGGCAGTTCCCTCCACCCTCATGCTGCCGCTCCCAAAGGACAGGATAAAGGCAGTCAGTGGGAGTCTGGCCTGAGCAGTTCCCTAGACTACAGCCCAGGGAGCCTCCAGTGAGTCTGACTGCAGGGCAGGATGGGACAGACTCCTCCAGGAGGCCCGTTGCTGGGGATCTGTTCCTCAGCAGGGAGACCCTGCGACTCCCAGTTGGGCAGGGAGCACTGAGCTAGCTCCTGGCCAGATGCATCTGCTTCCTGCCCCCCAGGACAGTTTTTCCCTGACACTCAGGGTGGGGTGGTCGTTTGTTTTCTTGTAGCAAGAAGCAGGATCGAGAGGCAGCAGCAGCCGGGAGCGCCTGATCGCCGAGCCTCCGCTCCCACAGGAGAAAGCCGGGGGCCCCGCTGTCCCTTCTCACCTCCTCGGGACGCCTTACTCCTTCGGGATCCCCCCCACCTCCGTCGTCCAGGATTCCCGCTTCCAGCCTTTAAAGTGAGTCACGTCCCCGGGAGCAGGATGCCGCATCGGGTTCACTCGTGTGCTGCCAGCTCTGACACATCCCGCAGCGGGGTGGCCTGGTATTGCTTCTCAGAGCCTGGCGTCTGCCTGCCCTTTTCCAGGCTGAGTTCCTTTGTGGCTGTTTTCTCTGGGGTTCCCCAAAGAATTCTACAGCCCTGGAGAGCAGGCCTTCCTGTAGGTGGGTGTTTGGTTTGTTTAGCTCCTGAAATAGCGCAGATAGAAGTAACCGAGGAACACAGCGAGATCTGCAACCGCAGGCTAGCTCCACCTGGCTTCTGCTGGTCCCTGGAGTGGCTCACCTAGGACAGGGTCCATTGTAATACTCGCCCTTTCCCCTCCCACCAAGTTCCACGACATGTGTTCTGTGGCTTAGAAGCTCATCACAGACGTTGCCTTGAGCCATGTGGTTTTTGTGCGACGCTCCCATCCGTCCCAGCCGGGGTTCTTCCAACACAAACCCAAACCACAACTCTGAATACATCTTTCTCCCTGTACATTTCAAAACCTCAAACCAACCAACCCAGGAGCAGGCGACAAATTCAAACCAAAGGTGGGCCTGAGCTGCAGAGTTCAAGGCCAGGACTGGCCCCAAGTGTCTCCAAGGCCTGGGGGAGCTGGGAGGCAGCTCTGCGGTTTTGGGCAGGACCAGGTGTAATTAAAACAAACTGCTTTGGAAACCAGCATTCCAAACACCAATGCTGGGTGTGTCACCGGTGCTCCTTCCCAACCCAGATCTCCAGCAGCACAGACCTAAGACTTTCATGCACTGCCTTGAAGGACTGTATGGCAAATGTGCTGGGTTACATTTCACTGGGGAGATCTAAACCCTGAGGGGATGGTGCTGCTCCCTGGAATGGCCTCTGCCAGCTAAAGGTGCTGCGCTGATCGCTCTCACCAGTGGGGGGCAGCATTCCACTCAAACTGCCCCACCATTCCCAGGCAGATGCTCGGGCCAGGCAAGCTGCCTTCCTCCCTCTGCCTGTGGCCGACTCTCACTGAGCAGAGGGTGACTGGGTGGGTTGCATTCTGCTGCGTTAACTCCGGGCAGCATGGCTTGGGGATGGCCAGGCCCCTGGAGGTGAAGTGCCCCGCCAGGGGGACGCAGGTGCTGGAAGGTAGCGAGCCTGGTAGGGTACGGCCGGCACAGAGTGGATTGTGGCTCTGCCTTTGCAGTGACTTCCTATGCTCAGCCGCCAGCATCTCAGTAGGAGTTGCCCCTTCTCCGGGCTCTGCATTGGGAGCCCAGTCCCCTCCCCATATCCAAGCTAATGAGGCCATCCAGAGGCTTGCGAATCTCCTGGACTGGGAAGGTCACTGACACTCCCTCCATCCCGCCCCGCCAGCAGCCTGCAGCGGCCTGTACACCATGTGGTGCCTCCCAGCGCGGTCACTGAAGATTACCTGCGGAGCTTCCGGCCCTACCACACCGCTGAGGAACTCCGTATGTCCTCCCTGCCGCCCATCAGCCTGGATCCGGCCACCGCCGCCGCTTACTACCACCCCGGCTACCTGGCCCACCACCCCTTCCCTCACCCAGCCTTCAGGTAAGCATCAGAGGCCAGGGGAGAGAGGGACTGCTCGGGGCTGGGCAGCGATTGTTTTTCTCCACGCGTCCAGCCGACAGCGGCTGCTCACCAAACCTTGCGGGGGCCGTGGATTGAGGCAGAGCAGTGCAATCAATTACCCTAGCGTCGGCTTTGGAAGCCACACAGAAATAAGTACACTTTATCCACAATTGATGGTTCCCCGGGTGCTTCAGTACAATGGTAATAAGGCATTCCAGGGAGGTCATTTACCACAGCAGCGGAGATTCCTGCGGCGGGGCTGATAACTAGCTCCTTGAGTGTGAACCCTTCACGGCAGGCTTGTATCTGCTCCGCTGCTGGGAGCAGTGCCGAAACCCCTTTCATTATCCCCTCGCCAGAGAGAAAGGAAAGATCAGCACAGAGCCCAGATCCCCCTTGCAGGCAAAGGATGCTGGGAAATCTCTTGCTAAGCTGGCTGGGCTTAGCTTCTCCCCAGAGCCCGAGGACCCGTCCGGTGCTTGTACCGTGCAGTTCCTTTGGTATGGAGCCATGGCTCTCCACAGGCAGGCTTGTGGAAGGTCGGGAGAGGGGCAGTGATGGGAGCCGGCCTGAACCCGAACTGGGAGAGGCTCTGAGGAGCTGCCGGGCGGTTTGTAGTGGTAGAGTCAGGCTGGGATTCCCATCCCTGGGGGATTGACTAGAGTCTGCCATACACGTGAAGTCACTTCTCCCACAGCAGGTGCTTTCCCTTCAGTAGCCACACACTCCTGGCCTCTGCTGCCAGCTGGAGAGGGGAGCTGTGCAGCTTTTCAACCTGACCCGTTCTCTCTCTCCAGGATGGATGACTCCTACTGCCTTTCGGCCCTGCGGTCCCCCTTCTACCCGATCCCAACCCCTGGTTCGCTCCCACCTCTTCATCCTTCAGCCATGCACCTCCATCTGTCGGGAGTGAGGTACCCCACCGAGCTGCCCCACTCGTCGCTCTCTGCCCTTCAGTCCGAGCGGATGTCCAGTCTGACCGCGGAGAGGTAAAGGGCTCCATGTCCCGTGTCAGGTCGTGCACAGCCCCTGGGGCGGGAGGATGGGGAGGCCCGTGGAGATGCTAACTTTGCTGTTCTGTTGGTGATTCCAGGCTGCAGATGGACGAGGAGCTGAGGCAGCGCGAGAGGGAACGCGAGAGGGAGCGCGAGAAGGAGCGGGAGCGGGAAGCCGACCGGGAGCGGGAGAAGGAGCGCGAGCGGGAGAGAGAGCGGGAGAAGGAGCTGGAGCGGGAGCGGGAGAAGGAGAGGGAGCGGGAGAGAGAGCTGGAGAGACAACGAGAAAGGGCCCGGGAGAAGGAGATGAACCTGGCCAAAGCCATGGAGACCCCATTTCTGCCAGTGGCAGAGCTGCACGGGCTGAGGAGCCACCCGGCGGAGGAGCGTGTGAAACCAGCCGAGCAGCTGACGCCAAACAGACCAGGTAATTCCCCCCACGTGCCGCAGAGCCCTGGCATGGAGCACTCCAGGCTGGCTGCTCTCCCAGGCACAGCTGAGCCAAGCCCCACTGGTAACTTCCCAGGGGCCTGTCCTTCGTCTGGGCCTTCTATGAGACTCACAGCCCTGGGATTTTGCATTGAGTTCACCTGGAAGCTCACAGCAAGACTCAGCCCAGCCAATAGGGAGTCACAAACCAGGCCGTGCTCCAGGATTTTGCCCCAACCCAAATGACTGCCACTGGGTTCCTCTCGGTTCCTTCCGATTGCCGAGCCATTTCTGGGCAGACGGGCTGCTCTTGACTACAGGATGGGGTAGGCTTGCCCCCGGCAGCTTCCCGACACTAGCGACGTACCAAAGCTTTGTCCTTCTCCAGCCCCCCTCCATCCTTGAAATGCCACAGACAGGTGAATTTAGCCTCCCAACCCCCAGGTGAGGCAGGAAGGGGTATTAACCGAGATCCCATGGGAAGCCTGTGGTGAGGTCAAGGCTAAAGCCTAGATCTTGCAGCTGCTAGTCCTGGCTGTCATTGCATGTTAGTCGGACTCTCATTAGTATCTGTGCTGGGGTGCTGGGTTTCCAGCGGGGATGAGTTCTGGGGACCGTTCCCATTGCTCTGCCTCATGTAATGAACACTGCACCTAGTTGCCCACCTATCATCTGCAAACTGATTGGCTGGGCTGAGAGTAGACAACAGTTCTCTCTGACTGCAGTGCGTCCTCTTCCTCCTGCAGAGAAACCCAAGGACACGACCATCCCAACTCCTAAGCCCGTCCAGCACCCCTTGCACCAGCCGCCCGCCTCCCACCATCCCGTGCCCAGCCTCATTTCCAGCCACAGCGTCTTCCCCCTCCCCGGGAGCAGCGCGGCCACAGCTCTTCTCATCCAGCGCACCAACGAGGAGGAGAAGTGGCTGGCGCGCCAGCGTCGGCTGCGGCAGGAGAAGGAGGACCGCCAGTCCCAGGTGTCGGAGTTCCGGCAGCAAGTGCTGGAGCAGCACCTGGAGATCGGGCGGCCGCCGAACCAGCCGGAAGCTGAGCACCGGCCAGAGAACCCCAGGTAAGGGCTGACTCCAGCGCTGGGATGGACAGGGACTCTCTGGAGTAGAGCAGCCAGGCCTGGCTTGTGTGATTCAGGAGGCACCTGCTGCCTTGGCCGGAAGCGCTCGGCTTTGCTTGAGTCCACCTAAGAGGGCTCCGTGCTGTGTCTGAGCAGCTGGGCTACCACAAAAGGCTGGCAGAGCCCCTTTCTCGTAGGGACGGGCTGGCTCAGAGGGGTGGGCAATGGGTTAAAGAGTCTTTCCCCTTTAGCTCACTGGTTCCAATCTGGTCTGTGCTGGCAGTGACAGCAATTTAATATCTCCTGACAGCTGCTCAGTGGCCTGCGTGAGATAAGTCTGGTGACCTCAGGCCAGTTGCTAGTGACTAGATGTTGCTAATTGCTACGCTGGCTGGCAGTATGAAAACACTCAGACTGCAGGGGAAGCGAGCCACGGCACCCCCGAGGGGCAGCTCCTCCAAGATTAGGAGTCAGGCACCCTGGCAGGGCAGGAGGAAGCAGCGTGCGCTGCTGCCCCGCCTCGGACCTGTTCTGGGGCTGCAGGGCTGTCAGTGTGGCACCATTCACCAGCATCTACCTTTAGTCCCAGTAAATACAGGGGCAAAATCTCGTTGTTATTTAATGAGAGGACGAGTCCAGATTCTTTCCAGGTCCGAGTGCTCCATCAGCGCTTCCATCTGTCAGGCGCCAGCTGAGCCCTGGGTGCAGTGGGGAGTTCAGTATGGTAGCCTGCCTTCCTGAACAGCCAGGAATCCCGGCCAGCCCCCTGCAAGCTGCATGCCAGCCTAGCCCTGCTGCGCAGCACCCCTCTCTTACCTTGCAGCGCCACGTCTGCCCTCGGCGTTGGGAGCAGGTCAGCAAATTACAAGGGGTCAGTGGGGCAAGAGCGGCACGCCGCCTCCTTCGACGCCTCCTGATGTGACTGCCCCTCTCTCTAACCCTGCCACCTTGGGGCTGATTGATGCTGGCTTTCTTGCTCTGTGGCTGAGCACTTAAGCGCTGCTGGCTCATCCAGTCATCTCTGCCACTGGATTCCATTGTCATTTTTGGGTATCAAGGGGATTAGCTAAACTAATCAGGTATAATAGGGAGCTGATTGCAGGGCTGCACAATGGTAAAGTCTCATTTCACTCTCCACTTCCACGTTCTCATCCCTCCCCAAACCCAAGCAAGTAGCTCAAGGTCACCTCCACTACATGGACCAGAATGTGTGTGCGTGGGGGCTGGGGGCTTCTTCACCCTCCACCCCTCCCCAAGTGCAGGCTGGCTGGGTGGGGAGGCTTGCATTGGGAGCGGCCACAAGGAAGCGTGTGGGTGCTAATCTGCCTTGCTCAGCAGAGGTGCTGCATCTCCCTCGAAGAGGACTCACTCATGCTTGACAATTGAGATGTCAGTCGAGCCGGTTAACGTCCATCATGACTGAATAAGAAGCCCTGCTACCTTGCCATGTCGAATTGAATGCGCATTGCTTCCCTGCCTTCTTAAAGGTCTATTAAACAAGCAGGCTGCTGTGACATGGGCCAATTTCTCCAGAGCTCTGTAGCTAGCACAGGATCGATCTATACTAGACAGGCCTATAGAGCTCATGCATGCTGGCAGGGGGAAAGCACTCTAGGTAGGAAGTGGAAGAGGCTCGTCTCCTGCTCACTGTGGGTGTCTGTACCTCTGCTTTCCACAGCTCCATGGCAGCTGCGCTATAAATTGTAGCACTGATCTGAACTTGATGCTTCAGTGCACGGAGGTCCGGGGCTCTGAAGTGGAAAACTGTTAAATGCACAGCTTCAGCGCATGAAATATTTATTCTGCTAACAGTTTTATTCCTTTGCCGGTTACTTAAGAAGGGTTTCACGGTGTCGTTCCCTTTGTGCTTCTAGAGCGCTGAGTGCCATGCCCCATCTCCTCGCCTTTGTTCAGCAGAACCTGGGCAGAGGCTGTATCTGGTGGTTTGTTTAGATGGCTAAAAAGTAGATTTACCCCCTTGGGTCCTGCGTTGGGACCCACGCAGGTAAAATGCTGCTTCTGTGCGGATCCCCACTGAACAGAGCTCCATGCGAGCACAGCAGTGCACCCACAACAATCAAGAGGCATGATCAGAGCCTTGGGCTGGAAGTAAGATATCTATAGGGGAATTGACAACTAGGGTGGGTCAAATAGCTAAACAAGCAATTGATGACTAAAAGTGCCGAGCTTCGATGGTTAAGATCCATGGGCTTGACCAGCAGGTATTTGGGGAAATGTTTGTGAATCCGAGAGTTTTTAGCCAGGTGTTTAAGAGCCAGAAAGCCTGTCCAATCTGGGCAAGAAAATACCATATCATATGACTTAGATGACCAATAACGAACCATGAATTGTTTGCAAACAGCCTTGAGTCACAACTTTGTTTTTTAGGCCAGTTGCTTATCAAATGCTTCTAAATAACAAAGCCATTGAGGGAGACTCCAGATCGGTTTGTAAATGATTCATTAACCTAAAAAGGGGGCAAAATTCAGACTAAAGCTTATGCATCAGAAAGAGAGTAACTTGATTCCTGACAAACTGGTTACATATTAAATACTCCCCAAATTATGTAGGCATTAAGGGTAACTGTGCCATCTCAGTTCTTCCCAGGTTCACTTATGCATTACCACGCAGTCTTTAATTCTGTAATCGCATCCTGCAACAGCTGATAATGGAATAGGTCTATACATAATGTGAATGCCTTCCACAGTTGTGTATTATCCACTGCAGTTAACCAAATGACCACTAGATGTCGTGCCAGTTGCATTCAGAGGCAGTCTGAAGGCCCTTTATCTGGTTATCAAGCCTTGAAGATGCAGTTTAGCAGGGAATTTTTCTTCCGTCCCAGAGTTAAATGCCTTCATAATCTGAATACCTCTTTTCCTGCTGCCATCTCTTGGCTATTCCCCTGGGAGGCCCAAGATGTGTCCTAGGGCTTGGCTACACTTGCAAGTTAGAGCGCCCTAACTCCTGAGGTGTCCACACTGGTAAGGCACTTAGAGCGTCTGGACTCCGCAGCTGGAGCGCCCCTGGTAATCCACCTCCACCTTGCTGTGCCCTGGCTGAAACGCCGGGGTGTCAGTGTGAACGATGTGTTGCATTACTGCGCTGTGATTGGCCTCTGTAAAGTCCTGAAGTCAAGTGGCCACTCTGGTCATTGTTTTGAACTGGGCTGCAGGCATGTGACTGTCCCCTTTCAAAGCTCTGTTTCTGACAGCCGGCATGCTTATCTGCTCCGGGACAAAGCAAACCATTACTGTGGAATGCTGCTGTTGCAGAGGCAGGTGTGTGTGTGTGTGTGTGTGTGTGTGTGTGTGTGTGTGTGTGTGAGGCAGGGGCTGGGGGCTGATGTCAGGGTTTCCCCCTTCCCTCGCCACTGTCTGAACTTACAAGACAGCATGCTGACACACTCTCTGCCCCCCAAAACTCACTGTCTCTCCCCTCACATACACATAACACACTCCCTGTCACGCTCCCCGACCCCATTTGAAAAGCACGCTGCAGCCACTTGCACACTAGGATAGTTACCACAATGCACTGCTCTCTGTGGCGTTGCGAGAGCTGCTAATGTGGCCACGCCCCTGCGCTTGCAGCTGACAGTGTGAACACATGGCAGCGCTTTCCCTGTTGCGGTCTCCGAGGGCTGGTTTAACTTCCCGCACTCTACATCTGCAAGTGTAGCCATAGCCTTAGTCCTTACAGGTCACGTGGTATGGTTTCCTCACCTGGAGAAATCACACCACTCTAAAGAGCTCTTAAGGCTGCATTTATCAAAGCTGAGTGTGCAAATGTGCCCATCGTTCCCACTGGGGGGGGGGAGGGTGCCAACTGGGTGACCAATGCCGACAGATGCATTAAAAAGGCCAGCAATGCAATCACCCCGTGTGGCTGTACTGATGCGGCAGTTGCTTGCGTAGATGAGGTGAGGAATTGCACATGCATTTTTGCACCTATCTTTTTTGATGATCTGGCCCTTAAAATCAAAACGAAAGCTGAATGTTTCTGGTAAAGTTCAGAAGGAAATGAGCGTGAAGCTCCCCTGTTGCTGGGGTTGCGTAGGGGCTCCCAATGCTGGTGTCAGGGGGCCCTGAAATGCACTTGCTCACATAGACCCTTTACTGAATGGGAGCCTCTCTCCCCCAGGAGCAATGTGAAAGGATGCAGATGAGCAGCATGGGAGCAGCTTCCTTTTGCGAGGTCTGCTTTGGGTGACAGTGGCAGGGCATGACTGCTATGCACTCCTCTTATTCAAGTGTCCCCCAGTGGCACCAAAATTGTTGCTTCTATGATCCTGCTGACACCTCTCTAACTTACTGTGGGTCTCTTGTTTCACAGATCAGGACCAAACCGCCATGAGCCAAGTGGCCGAGACCAACCACAGCACTTTGGAGGGCCCCCTCCGCTCATCTCTCCCAAACCTCAGCATCATCCAGTGCCCACCTCGCTCTGGAACCCTGTGTCCTTGCTGGAGAACAATATGGAGCCACGCAGGATCCAGGAGAATCACTCTCTCCATGCCCACCCTGCCCAGTACGAGCCCAGCCGACAAGCCATCCCCTTGGTGAAGGTGGAACGAGGATACTGCCCCGAGAAGCTGGACGAAGGGGCCAGAAAGAGAGAGACACTGGACAAATACCAGCCTGCCAGGGAGCCTGGGGCGTCGGAACATGGTGGGTTCTCCCATGGGCCCTTCCTGGCAGAACTGGAAAAGTCCACACAGACCATCCTTAACCAGCAGAGGGCATCGCTTTCCCAGCCGGGGCAGTTTGCTGAGGTCAGCCTGCCCAGCAAGCCTAGCTCACCTTACCGGCACCCGCTGCCTAGGGCCCACGACCCCATGTACGTTTACGACGAGTTCCTGCAGCAACACCGTAAACTAGTCAGCAAACTGGACCTGGAGGAGCGGAGGCGGAGAGAAGCCAGGGAGAAAGGTGAGTGCCTGCATTGAGGAGTCCCTTCCAGCCGCAGTGCCGCAGTAGCGCTGAACATGACATCTCACTGAGGGCTTGTCTACACAGGATGCTACTGCGCTGCGAGCCAGGGTGTGAATCTACAGCACAGTAGCTTGCTGTGCCATAACACCCTGTGCTACGGGGCACAAACAGGCCGGGAGAGTGCTTTGACTTGCTACACTTTACAAACAGTAGTAGCCAAAGCGCACTCCTGGACGGTAGATCAAACCCTGGCTCGTCGCGCAGTAACGTCCTATGTAGACAAGCTCTGAGAATAGAAACAAACTGAAGCAGTGCTAAAGGGCTGTAGCTTTGAGCAGGGGGAACTGGACAGATCAGAAGATTGGAAATGAGCTGAAGAGCCCTTAACCTCTAGAGCAAAGGCTCAAACCCAGCTGGGGTCAGCAGGGGATGAAAGTTGTGACCATCTGATGGCTGATCAGTGGCCTGCGTGAAATTATTCAGGATGGGGATATCTTAGTCCAATTCCTGTTGAACAAGTCTCTTGTCTCTCTCACTCACCCACCACCATGGCTGGCTCTCACTGGCACCCCTGTCTGTGTCCATGTAAAAGACAAAGATTGAATGGACCGTGCTCATTAGAGGGGGTTCCTCTGAGACGGGTCAAATGCAGTAGCCGGGCAGCACTGCCATTGGCCCTGCTCTGGAGATGAAGAGAGGACTGGAGTTTTCAGGGCTGTGAATCCTGCTCCAAACACAGTAAAGCAGCAGCAGCATTGTCGTGTGTGTGTGTGTGTGTGTGTGTGTGTGTGTGTGTGTGTTTCTCCAAGACAATTAAATAAGGACAATAACACCTTTGATTCTGAACAAGCCCTGGTAGTGGGGTCGTATGTCTTCCAGGGAGCTAATTGACACCTCTGCCGAGCAGACAGACCACACTGCTGTCCCCACTGCCTATGCAAATCACGCTGAACGCCAAATCAGAGCAGCTCTGTACATCCTCCGCTGCAGACATGCCCAATTAATAAATGATGAACCGAGGCTAATAAGATGGCTTTAAATATTAATAGGACTGTACAAGCAGGGATAGGAACAGAGGGAGGAGACTGCTCTGTGGTGGGGAGAGGAGGATTTGGGGCATGGGAGCTACACAGTCATTCTCTGGGCTGCTGCTGTCTCTGCTGCTGACACATGCTGTGTCTCAGATGGCTGGCTCTTGGCTCGCCGGCATGCTGCAGTTCTCTTCTATTCCCTTTTGGCACCAAACGTTCTGTTATTTCTGCTTTGCACTTGGCCCACCGCCTGCCTCTGCCCATTAACTCTTTGGAGCTAGTGGAAGCAGCTGACGGCACAATAGGCTGCTACACTGCCGTGCATGTGAGCCGTGTCTCCTGCAATGTTGGGTACTATGCCAGGGTGGCACGCTGGTCACTCCTGCAGTGCACAGATGCTTCTGCCATAAAAATGAGACACACCACTCCACCCCCTCCCTGCAGAAGGCTGCCTGGTAGTTCATGGCTTCCATGTACCCAGGAGGACATCCTTATTTGAGGCTATTCAGCGGGGCCTGAACTCCTCACTGACCTGGCTGGGCATATCCGAGAAGCTGCTTTCTTGTGACAGGCAGGGAGCAGTTACAGATCTGCAAGGTTGCAGATGTTTAATCTGAACAACTGTTGATGCTGCAGACCCAATGTGTCGCAAATTCTACACATGACTCCGAATGCTTGCGGGAGGGGCATGGGCTATCAGCCACAGTGCACTCTGGGGAAGGCCATTGGCTTCAGGGGAGCTCCTCCTCATATGCAGGGATTCTGATCTCAGCTGCAGATCAATATCCGCTCCCAGTGTATTGCTCAAGTGTGGGGTGTCAGTTTAGTTTGAGTTCCTCTATCGGCAGGGAATAATCTTGAAAGATTAGGGGTCCAGAGAAGAGCAACAAGAATGATTAAAGGTCTTGAGAACATGACCTATGAAGGAAGGCTGAAAGAATTGGGTTTGTTTAGTTTGGAAAAGAGAAGACTGAGAGGGGACATGATAGCAGTTTTCAGGTATCTAAAAGGGTGTCATAAGGAGGAGGGAGAAAACTTGTTCACCTTAGCCTCTGAGGATAGAACAAGAAGCAATGGGCTTAAACTGCAGCAAGGGAGGTCTAGGTTGGACATTAGGAAAAAGTTCCTAACTGTCAGGGTGGTTAAACACTGGAATAAATTGCCTAGGGAGGTTGTGGAATCTCCATCTCTGGAGATATTTAAGAGTAGGTTGGATAAATGTCTATCGGGGATGGTCTAGACAGTATTTGGTCCTGCCATGCGGGCAGGGGACTGGACTCGATGACCTCTCGAGGTCCCTTCCAGTCCTAGAATCTATGAATCAAGATCAGCTAATATGATCACACACGCAAGCCTATCTAAGCACACAGACACACATGCCTATTCTGCGTATTCCGTTACCATGACTGTACATCCAAATGGCCAGTGTACAATCATCGTAGTTGCACATGCAGTTGGCTGTAATAAATTGTGTCTCTAATCATGAATCCCCCTCCCATGGGATTATTTGTAGTGTGTCAAACTACTGAGCACCTCAGACAGCTGCATTTATATGAAAAACAAACCCATCACCAACCTGGGAAATTATTTCTTCTTCTCCTCCCACTCCAAACCCAAAAGGACCAAGCCCCAGGATCGACAAGCCCTGAGCCAATAGCGGTCTGAGAACTCACCAATTCGCCACTCATCAAGACTAGAAATGGGAGCTTTATCCCATTGGGAAGGGGACTTCCCAGCTTTCCATTGGGACCCACAGCACATTCTGCTAGCCTGTGACCAGTCCCAAGATTTCAGCCATTTATGTGCTATTATTCCAGAGAGAAAAGCCGTTTTGTGGTGAACTTGTAGAGGTTTATTAGTGATAATTCCCCACTTTTGCCTCCAAATCCTGGCCACTTGCCTTCCTGGTACTAAAAGCAGCTGCGCTTCCCAGGTGGAGGCTTATGAATAAAGGACCAGTGATAGCTTAAAGCCTCTTTCAAACATTTCAAAAGCAGGCTTTCTATGAGACATTTGGCACGTAGAGAATATATTCCCCACGCATCATAGATGCAACCCAAACTGCTGCCAGTCACCACGGCACCCCGTGTGGTTCAGGTAGTGACGTAGGTACATGCACACATGCCCTGGACTGTTCTTTTCCCTGTGTAATGGGCCCAGGGAGACGGACTGAAATGCACTTGTAGGCCTATTGCATGGCATGGCCTTCAGCCCCCTGAGGGTACAGCCAGCCGCTTCTGTGAATTACACAGCAGGCTGAAAACAGTTCCTGCAGGGAGTCCTTTGTCCAGTCACAAGCCCTTAGAGCTGGGCAATTCTTCCAGGCCTGCTTGCTGAGCCCTCCCGGCGTGTCACTTGGCTGGGATTCATCGCAAGCTACCCAAGTCTGAGTTGATGGAGCTCTGACGGGTTCTCTCGAGTGGGGTGGGGGGGGAGGGAGCTGTCTGTCCCGCCTCTTGGCCTCACCGTCCCACTTTGCGTCTCTCACGCACAGGCTATTACTATGACCTGGATGACTCCTACGACGAGAGTGATGAGGAGGAAGTGAGAGCCCATCTCCGGTGCGTTGCCGAGCAGCCCCCGCTGAAACTGGATACTTCCTCGGAGGTATGCCAGCTGTCTGATCCTGCTGAGGTTACTCTTGAGCCTTTGTGGCCAGTCCTATGGGTGAGGTGCCCTGAGCCAGCTCAGACTCTATATGGTCACTGGGCATTATGGGGCAGAGCAGCCTAGGATACAACTATGGTATGTTTCTAGCCCAGGAGTACCATTGAGGACACTGTGGCTTTGCTCTGTATAGATTCTCAGACCTTTCCCACTGCAGAGATAAGTAAGTAGCAGCAGCAGGAGGCAAGCCACAACGAAGGGGCCCAGTGAAAGGATGGAAGGGGTGTTTTCAGACAAGGAAGGTGACTGGACGAGGTGGAAAGATACAGTGAGGGGGTTTCAGAGAGTTGATGCAGAGGAGAGACTGAGCTTTTCTCAGCTCGGAAAAGGGGCTGTAGGATCATCCTCCTCTCACCGCCTCACTGTACCCGAGGCTTAGCCATGGCTTGCTTAGCCCGTTGCCAGCCTTTGGAAGAGGGCCTCTATTAATGTGTAGCCCACTGCACTAATCAGCTTCACAGCATTTCACCAACATTAACTAACCTGTGTGAGACAGGAGAATGAGGATTTATTACCCCATCGGGCAGATGGAGAAACTGAGGCAGGGAGGTAAAGTGACTTGCTTGGGGCCATAGAGAGAGACAGTGTCCGAGCCATAACCTTCCCTTACCCTTAGTCTGTTTGTGTCTTCAAATTGCAAGTCCTTCGGGGCAGGGGTTGTCTCTTTACTGTGTCTATACAGCACCTAACACAATGGGGCCTCAATCCCGACTGGGGGCCTTGGTCCTACCATACTATAAATATTTAATAACAACAACAGGAGGAGGAGTGCTCGGAAGTCTGCCTTCCAGTCCCATGTCTAGACCGCTAGCCTGTAGCTCTCTTATCTGAACAAGCACAGTGGTGCACTTTCCATGCTCCCTGCTGACAGGCTGAATTGTCTTCAGCATTTAGGTTGGCCACCAATCCTGTCCCCTTTCCGGATGGCTTATACATCTGTGGTTTGGGAGGAACTGAACAGCTCATTCTCTGTTTAAAAGACGCTGGGTTTCCCGTGCCATTGATTTTAGTATTATGGATTCCTTTCCAGACTGCGTAAGCGTCCCCAGAAAGCAGTGTGGTGTACATGGAATTATACCCCCATGAACCTAGCTAGATAGAGAGAAGTATATGACAGGGAAACATGACAGCAGCAGGTTCTTCACTGTTCAGCTGAAGAAAAGTCCCACTGAGCTTTGAAACTACTCATTTATGTGGCTCTTCCCATTGCCAAACTCCAGAAATTGGAGTTCCTGCAGCTTTTTGGCCTGACCACCCAGCAGCAGAAGGAGGAGCTGCTGACTCAGAAGAGGAGGAAGAGGCGGAGGATGCTGAGGGAGAGGAGTCCATCCCCTCCCACAGTCCAGAACAAACGTCGGACGCCCTCACCGCGGCTCCCACTCTCCACGCGCTACAGCCCCGACGAAATGAACAACAGCCCCAACTTCGAGGAGAAGAAGAGGTTCCTGACCATCTTCAACCTGACTCACATCAGCGCAGAGAAAAGGAAAGGTACGGCTTGATCCGTGCAGGCCAGTGGGGAGGGATGTGGTGTGTTGGATTCTGCAGATGACGTTCTAGGTACATATACAGCCCTGTCACTATGGTATGAGTGAAAGGAGGGGGAGCTCACAACGCTGGTGGCCATGGGCTTTAGAGCAGCACTAGGAGAAATGTCTCAATTCCATGAACTTGTGTGTCACAACATGGTGATGGTCTTTTGCCCTGTGATGATGCATTGCCTCATGGTGCTGTGACTTCCCTCCCCACCCCTACACACAGCACCCCTAGGGTTTGATTTTCAGAAGTGCTGAGCACCCCCAGTTCCATTAGTCAGGGGGAGCTGCAGGTTCTCAGCACCTCTGCAAGGCAGGTCCTGAACTTCTGGGACAAGTGACACTAGTCTGAGTTGAAGATGCCCACTTAACTCTTGATTTCAAGGTTTTCATTCTGCTGCAGGCTGGTTAGAGCTGCTTTGCTTCATCGGTAGATCCAGCCTGCCCTGTTCCTGATCTGTGCTTTGGTTGTGGTGAGCAAAATGAGGGCATTTTCCACTGCCCAGGAATGAAACCCTTTGGTGCTGGGGCATCCCCAGCTAGTGTGATAAAAATGGGCATCCAAAGGAATGTTTAATTTGCAATCCAGTTGTGAGCCTAAACACATGAATGCCATCTCTCCCATGACCTGGCATGCAACCCGTCAGCAGCCTGGTGGGAATCTGCCCAGTGCTGCAAGAGAGTAGCATGGCTCCATTGGCCAGGTAGCCACCCCCTCCCCGGAGCCAACACACAGGGCCGTTCGTGTCCTGTTGTTCAACAGGTTTGGATAGATCAGCTAAGCTGATACAGGAAGCATCCTTAACCCCGTGCTCACCACCACCACCCGGATTATGGACAGTGCCGTATGCTGCTGAGTGGGCACAAGCAGTGACGTCCTACTAGTTCAGCAAAATGCCCATTGCAGGCTCTGATTCGTAGCGACTGCAAAATCAGTTGCTGTTCCTTTGCTGCCTTTGTGCCCTGTGCTGGCCAAGTGCCATGTTCGTGTCTGTGTGCTGTAACTCCAGTGAGACTAATTTCCCATGTATGCACTTGCAAAGCCAAAAGCTGCCCTTGTGCTGTCTGCTTGCGGCATCTTCCTACTTATCTCTGCTCCAATGGGCAAAGGCTGCACTAAATCTCAGCTTCCCACCCTGCAGATAAAGAGAAACTGGTGGAAATGCTCCATGCCATGAAGCAGAAAAGTGTGACGGCAGCAGTGGTGGTGAAAAGCTCCCCGCGGGACAGTCCCAGTCTCACCCCAGCTGGTAAGTAGCAGGGCAGAGGAGCTGACGGGGGGGAGAAAAGTGGGATGGAGCGGATGGACAGACCTCCATGGTGCTCCTGAGAATTGGATCATAGGGACTAAAGAGTGAGCACCTAGTGGGCCTGATAATCCTCGTACTTTGACTGGTTTTACTTTGATGTCAGTGAAATTACACCAGCATGAGCGAGAGGGGAGCTGGGTCCAACCAATAACCTCTTCATAACTGAACTGGATAAAATGGGCAACATTCACCTGTCATTCTGCCCATTGCCCCCTCCTCCAAAGACAGACAGGTGGCTTTCACAGTACCTGGCTAATGCAGAGTTTGTTGAAGTGATGGAGGGGGGAGGGTCAGGCCTGTTGCAGGCTTGGTGTTGAAACACTTCCTGGGGCAGATTTTCAAAGGGCCTCTACAGCATGTGCAGAGCCTAGTTGGGGTGCCCTGGGGGAGAGTTGTGCACAGTCATGGGCCAGACAGTCCAAGGTGCAGTGAACTGATCTGCAGCTGCAACGTCTGCTGGGGTTTTTTTAGAGGTCCTTTAGCATTACAGGCCCACCTGACAGTTGGCACAGGATTTCTCTTCCAGCCCCAGCCAGCTGGAGGAAGATCTATCCCGTGCTGTGTGAATGGACCTTCTTCTAGAAAACAGCAAATCAACCAAAGAGTAGTGTGAGAGCCTTCCCCAGAGCCATGATGTGTCCGGCCATTCAGTAACGCCTCAGGGAACGCAGGGACATTCGAATCAAGCATCTCATCCGAATCAGTCCCAAGCACCACTAGTAACTCTGTTATGTTTTATTTCCCAAAGAGCTCCAGGTGCAGCAATTTCCTGTGGATTCAGATAAACCTGTTGGTATCACCGCCTCCTTGCCAGACACTCAAAAGACATCAGAGCCCAGCCGATTAGAACAGCTGAGACCGCACGAGCTCCAGAGGGCCAAGGAACCAGCTCCGGTCTCTGCTGAGAAGCCCAGGCTGAACGATGGGCACACCGGGAAGAAGAGCCTGAGCATATTCAATTATGTCAGGGGCCCTTTGCCTAAGGACATCCCGGTGCCACTCTCTCACAGCATGAATGGGAAGAATAAGCCATGGGAGCCCTTCATAGCTGAGGAATTTGCACATCAGTTTCACGAGTCTGTGCTGCAGTCCACACAGAAAGCATTGCAGAAGCACAAAGGTAATGGGACAGACCCAGAGGGGAAATGGAGGGGGAGACAGCAACAGTATATGTGTACAAATAAGAGCACTGTACTGAAGCCTCAATGAGGCTTCCATCTAAGCTCTAAAGCAAGTGTCCACACTTTTGCACATGTAAGATTCTGCACGCACACTTTTTTCCTCACCTGAGTTTTAGCACGTGCAGATCCTGAATAGAGGCCAAACTTTATTTGCTTGTACAATGTCAGGTATTTAGACATCAAAACCTCCAGTTTGTGTACACAAAGGACATCTGCACATATACATGGCAGTTTGTGTGCACAAAAAACCTAGACCTGAAATAAAAGTGCGTGCAAAACTTGTGCATGTAAAAATGCGGGAGTTCGTTTAGAAAATCTGGCTGTTGGTACAGATATAATGACAGTAATTCCCCAGCCAGCCATGCTTTTGTCTCTTACGTGTTCTAGAAAAAAAGTTTTAGAAATGACCATTATGGGAAGGGAGAAAAGCACATCTGACTGCCAGCCATGTGGGTACTCAATGTAAGCATGAAGCACAACCTGTTTCTGGAAATTATGAATACATCTGTGCTTTCCCATCACTGAAACAGCCTGAACAATTACAGTAGGAGGTAAAAATATGGGAACTTCATGAGAGGCACTGAAAATATGGCTCACGCACTGAAAAGCTCATTAATTTCAGTGGGCAGAAGTAAAGTTACTACAGTGTGTAGGGAGCAGCTGTTAACAGAAAATTAAAAAGAAGTATTAAGAAAGCAGAGAGGAGCAGCATACAAAAAATGTAGACAGTACGGGGCCATAAATGTATGCAATGACTGGCTCAGAGAGCCATTAAAATCTACTGAAGACATCTCCAACACTGAGGAAGAAAAGTTAATCTTATAGACAAATTAATAACCCAAGGGCAGCACATTTGTTAATGCAACCTGATCAAAAATGTTTTTAAATAAGAAGCCTATTTTAAGGACACACATTCAGTGATTAGGTCACTTGACTGACAGGCAAGAGACCGGCACTCTAGTCCCAACTCTGCCACTGACCTGCTGTATGACCTAGGAAAAACTTTTTCTCTAGGAGAGTGGTGAAGCACTGGAATGGGTTACCTAGGGAGGTGGTGGAATCTCCTTCCTTAGAGGTTTTTTAAGGTCAGGCTTGACAAAGCCCTGGCTGGGATGATTTGGTTGGGAATTGGTCCTGCTTTGAGCAGGGGGTTGGACTAGATGACCTCCTGAGGTCCCTTCCAACCCTGATATTCTATGATTCTACGGCAAGTCACATCATTTCTCTGCACTTCTGTTGTTCCTCCTGCCCTGTCTCTTATCTTGCCAGTTAGGATCTCCCCCTAAAGAGCTTAGGGGCCACTAGGCGCTACTGTAATACACAAAATAGTTGTAGCATTTTAGAAAAGCAGTAACATATTTCCAGGCGTGTGTGCCATCAGGAGAGGGTGAGGATTAGAGAAGGATTGTGAAAAGAGTTTTCTTGCACTCACTGCACCTTCTGTTACAAAGGGTGTGCAAGGGAATTTGCAGCCTTGCATTTGGCATTCTCTTCACACTGATGCAAGTGCATAGAGTTCAGTCACTCATCCTTTTTAGATTTATCAACCAGTGTGATTCCACATGGGCTGCCCGGACAGTCAGGGTCAGACTGTTCCTCGCAAGCAGGGAGACAGAGAATTCTAATCAGACACTAGTGGCCAGGTGATCCACACCCCAGCTCCCACACTCCTCTTGTCTCCAGCAAATGAGGAGTCAAGCTTCTTAGCCTTTGTGGCTGCCTGGTACAGTAACCAGACACTGCTACGAATCTGATTGTCAGTGGAGCTTCAACACCTGGCCCCCACTTGTGCATGTCCACCTGTGTGCATAGGTGTTAGTGCAGAGCAGGTGCATGCACACGGATGGAGGCAAGGGTTGGAAAATCAGTCCTAATATACTTCATTGCAGGACATGCTTTGACACCCAGAAATTAGGCTGATCGCAGGTGGTAGCTGTGGAATTAGCTCATGTAGACTATCCGCGCTGGCCCGGGCCTTGAGATGTTTTCCAGTATGTGCCCTGTTTAGTTTGAAATGTCTTCTGAGGACATAAGAAGTCGTCTTTTCTGATTGTTTTCTGTTCCTGTCTTGCTTTCAGGAAGTGCAGCAGCACTTACTGCAGAGCAGAACCACAAAATTGACACCTCTATCCATTACAACATTCCTGAGCTTCAGACCTCAAGCAGGGTCCAGCTGCCTCAACAGAATGGGCAGCAAGACACCCCACTGGCACGAAAGGGGCTCATCCCACCCGAACAGGACAAGGACTCTGACTCAGAGGGGGAGGAGGAGGAGGAGGAGGAGGAAGACGAGGAGTACCCTAGACCTAAATGGCAGGGGATTGAGGCAATCTTCGAAGCTTATCAGGAACATATAGAAGGTAAGGGAAAAGGATTACAAATGGGACATCAAGGCGATTTCAAGCCCTCCTGTCACCTTGAGGTCTCAGTCCTATAAATGACAGTGTGGTATTTCTGCTACCATCTCAGAGGGTGCTCACATCACTACATTTTCTGTAATGTAAGAGGAGAAGGTGGAATTTTGGTGAAACTTCCAACTTCAACCTCAGCTGGAGTGGAGAAGGAATAGCAGGCTACTGCTGTCCCTGTTGCTGCAGTTGCTTGCTTGACTGTGCTCTCTCAATACTGAAGGGTTGTCTCTCTGATAATGATAAGAACTGCTCTGTGCCTATTAGTTTCCAAGAGCACTGGGTTCGAGCCTTGGCTCTGCCATCGACCCATTGGGACCTTGGGCATGTTACTCTGTGCTTTAGTTTCCTGATCCGTACCATGGGGATTAAAAACAGATCAGTCTCACAGGTGAGGCAAATTTATTCACATCTGTCGAGCACTTTAAGATCCTCCGACGGGAAGGGGCTGTGGAAAAGCATAAGGCTGTTAATTAGCAGAGGATAGACATAAAGGCGACAGGTGTGTATGAAAATTCATTAATACGACCCAGCACCTTAGAGCAGTGTCTGTAAGGCTGCACAGCGAAATGGAGTCTGGATTCAAGAGCGCAAAACCCCTTGATGTTTTTCTCCTTAGTCTCCTGCTTTATATTCTTGAAATGTGTCTAAAAATAACCCCGCTGATGCACCGCCTCAAGCTGGCAATGGAGATGCCATACAGGTGTCAAACGGTGACCTGGCGCACCCTCCACTGTGCCCCAAAACAATCAGATAGCTCAGCCACTGGCATGCGCTGCACCCAAGGGGCTGTGAGTCATTTTCTTTTGAACAACACTTCACTTAAGGGCTGTCAGTCTCATCTGTGGAGAGAGACACTTTAGGAATTACAACACAGCTAATTACCAAATGGCGAGCTGGAGCCAAGTCTCAGGAAAACACAAATGCAGATTGATCACCAAGTCTTTCCCTAATTTATTGCAGTTATAAATACATGTGTAGGCTGCAACTCAGAGTCTGAAATAGGATTGGGGCATCTTTTACCATTATTGGTGAATCTAATTTAATCTGTTTTCCACAGCACCTATCTCTGTGGTATCCACCTGATTCTCCAGCTCTTAAGACTCAGGTGTTTGTTCATGCCACTGCAATTAGTCCTCCGTGATTAGATGGTTATCAAAAATACACAGCAACCTTTCAGCGTCAATACAGCTGGCTAACCTATGAACACCTATGAATGCTCTACACATTCAATGCTGCACAAATTTTGCTACATGCTGTTTTACTTTCCGGCGCGCTGATTATTCTTTGTGTTCTTGATAAGACGATAGAAATATTGAACAGCTTCCAGTGGATCAGCTGCTTTAGGTTCCCCTCTCGTTTTATCACGGCAATAAATCCTTTGTTAGTGTGCAAGACCCAATAATGTTTCTGATACCCTGGAAGTTAATTACATCTCACGTACTCAGATCCTTATGAATACAGTTTAAATTGTCTTTTAGAAAACTGAAAGGTGCTGTTAGCTTTCTCAAAGGAGCTTCGGCAGTGTTTTTTCCATAAGCTGCGGACCCTTTATTTGACATCAGGCTGTCTTGCAGATCAGTTCTTACTTTCCTTTAGAACATGATTATACTAGTTTGCATTCCTGAGAGCCTTTCATCTTGGAGGATCCCAAAGTATTTCACCAACAGCACCACTATAATGTAGCTACCTCTGCCATGGGTGGTGGTAGTCATCTGGCTCAAAGCAGGCTGCGCATGGAAGGAGGGGTTTTGGACAGGAGTACAGTCCTGCCTTAGGAAAAGTGGTATTGGATGGTTAAACTCCACACAGAGCAGAGTCTCTGTTTAAAGTGTGGAGTCAGAAAAATGACAGGGGGAAATGGACCTCTCTCAACAGCTCTGCTCCCTGTATATATTCGGACTCTTGTCTGATGCCATAATAAGCTTTTACTCCTGTTAGCCTTGCAGAGGCAACAGAGCTGTGGGAGAGGAACCTGGATGCTATGTTTTGGCTCACCCATCAATAGAATCTTTGTTCCAGCTGCAGAGCCTGTTCTCCATTCCCATGGTATTTAGGCACCTAGTTGATGATGCACAAGCAATAAAGAACCCAGCTTGTCTCTCAGATCCTAGGCTGTATTTGCATGACTGGCAGTTAAAAAAAAATCCTTCCTTTATGCAAACTGAGCACATTTGAAATCAATGGAAGATAGGAGCCTAAACACCTTTAGGAGCTGGGCCTACATTCTGAAGAGGCGGTAAGTCTGGAACCAGCACCATGCTGCATTCTAGAGGCACTGTAGACTGCCTGGAATTTATTTTAATCTACTTGGGAAGGGCAGAGTTAATCCTGCTGGAATAGGAGAGAATTTGGCAAGAAGTATCCTGCCTTAACTTTTTACAGATCTGTCCAGTGTGCCAGTGCTTGGTTTAAAGAATGCCAGCGGTCATGTCTGGTGAATGCACAAATGAACACCTTAGGAACATTGCAGCATGGTGCACAAATTTTAGGAAAAAGGCCAAGATATGGAGGACTCTTCCATCCATGAGGTTATGTAGTTTGCTGCGCAGTTGATCATTGGCTACAGTGGTGGTGTCCTTAATCTCCATGACATGATATGGTGAGAACATTTCAGTAGTGGTGGATGAAGGTTGCGAGGTCCATGCTGGAGCAGACTGGCACGTCTGACATCTTACCTCTGGCAGTGACCTTCTGAGGTTTCAGAAGGCCAACATCAAGGGTGAGAATTCAGGAGCCTGGTGTGGGAAAGACTAGCCAGACCAGAGATGCTATTAGCCAAATAGTCTGATGATACCATGCAAGGCTGATTGTTTCTCATTTGCTTGCAGAACAAAACCTGGAACGCCAAGTGTTGCAGACACAGTGCCGACGGCTGGAGGCCCAGCATTACAGTCTCAGTCTGACTGCAGAGCAGCTGTCACACAGCATGGCGGTGAGCGATAGACACTTTGACATGCTCGGGGGGGGAGGGGGGGCGAACCTACTGGAACCCCAGTAGAGGAAAATTGGAGTCTGCCCTTGGGAATGTGCCGGTGAGGACAAGAGAACCAACACATGACACGTGTAGTCGTGTTGCTTATTGCACTATTGGAAGCACTCAGACACTATGGTGATGAGTGTGGTGTAAAAACCTGTATAGAATAGCATGCTTCTCAGATGACCTACTGCCCATTTGTTTACAGCATCTTCTGGAATAAAAATGCACTAGCAAGTATCATGCAGACAGGGTCACTGTAAGCAGCATGACCCTGGTAGCAAGGAAAGGAGACCCATCCAGAGTCTGTGCAAACCTATAAACAACTTGTAGGGCAGAACTGCTCCCCTGTGATTCTCTGTGCTCGTTCAGTGCCCCCACCATCACTGGGAATTCAGCATGTGCAGGGCAGTAGGTTTATTATAACACTTGCCATGTAGGATTTTTTAAATGCAGCAGTACAAGTTTTGCCATCCCTTTTAGTTTCCTGTCTGGCCCAATGAAAAGCTGGCTGCAGGGTTCCCCACCTCTGCACCACAGGAAAAAGACATGGGCCGGCTCCAGCCAAGGCTGGATGTCAGGATCTCCATTCTTAGGGCAGGAGCTTTGAGGCAGTAGGGTGGACAAATGTAAGAAGGAACAGTGCTGAGAAAAATACAGATGCCACAAAGTTTGAGGAAAACATGTGGGTCTGATTCCGAGCTCACTTACTCAGGGGAAACTCAACGGGACTACCCCAGCATGATTGAAAATCAGCTCTTCTGATTTGATCCAACTTTGCTGTCATTTCCATCTGCCCACCAAACCACCCAAATGTTGATTGCAACAAACCCAGTGGCCTGCCCCTGCAGAAGAGCATAATATATCCCCCATAGATGCACACGCTGGAGAGAGGTGTCAATGTCCCCTTTTTCACTTTGTTTTTTCCTATTCCCTTACAGGAACTAAGGAACCAGAAGCAGAAGATTGTCTCGGAAAGGGAGCGACTTCAGGCCGAACTAGATCACTTGAGAAAGTGCCTTGCGTTGCCTGCAATGCAGTGGTCTAGGGGTTATTTCAAGGGATATCCCAGGTGACGCTCCCTTGCACTAGGCTGAACATATAGTATAGAAATAATAATCTATTTTATTACCTTGAATATTTAATATTTTTCACTGGGAGGTTTGAAGCTAAAATATAAATGGAGAATGTGCCATGCATGGAGCAAAGGATTATGGAATCCAGAAAAAATACCCACCTCTATCTTGACTTCAATGCAACTGAATCTTTGTAATTCTGCAAGCAACCCACCCATGAAGGCTAGATTTTGTTTAATTTTAATGAGGGGTGCTTTTTTTCCTCCTTCCCCTCCACTTTTTAATTATTATTTTTTAAATCTGATAAGACTTCATCAACAACACTAATAGCCACCTCCCTGTAGAGGGGGTGCTGTCCACACACAAAATCATTCTTTTGTTGCCATATTAGTCCAACTACTGTACCATGGGGTTTGCCTGTTCTTCACGGGGAAGATGGTGTGTCTCTTGTTAAGAGGAAGTTGGGTACACTTTTGAAAGCAAATGAACTGTGTATCTCCGATACGGAAAGCTGTGGTAGTGATCTGCAGAGTAACAAGTCCTGGAAGGAGCCAACACAGCTTCAGAACTTGAGCCTTTTCCTAAATCAACAGGCTTTCCACTGGAAATGCACTTCGCTAAAAAAAAATAAAGTGAATAAACAAACCGAAGGTACCTTTTTATTACTGTTTTGGGGGGTAGGGAGCGGAATGTACAGAACAACAACAACACACACACACACACACCTAGAGAGAGAGAGAGACAAATTACATACCCTAGTGGGTGAACTTTTCATACAAACTCAAACGATTTTGCAATTAAAAAAAAAAAAACAAAGTCAAAAAGGTGCTTCAGCCTTGTACTGTGTATATATTTAAAAAGTTTTGTATGTTTTTATTACTTTAATTATTGTTATAAAAAGCTTGCCATTTTTAATATGTTTCTGCTTTTTTTTTGGCAAAATAACTTGCTTTTAGTGTTTGTACTGCTGCTGGTCAGGACATGACAAATATTGAAGTGTTTTAAAACAATTTAAAAAAAAAAAAAAGCTTTCCACTGGGGCATGTGCTATCACTTCTGTTTTTTGCTTTGTGTAGCATCAGTTACTGGTACAGAAAATTCTGTTACTAAAAGGCCAGAAATTAATTATTCCTTACTGCCCTTTCACTGATTTTTTTTTTCCCCTTCAAGCACTTCAAAAGTTACATTACAAATATGACCAGCTGCTACTAAATGGGGAAGGGAGTGGAAAAGTCTGTGTTGGGAACAAAAGTTCAGGAACTAAATGAACTGTTTGGGTCTATGATTCAGCGTTACTGATGTCTTTCAGCGCTCTGACGAGTAATCTAGAAAATGTTTTAAATGGGCGGGGGGGAGACTGCTTGTGTTAGCAATGAGTTGTTAGAGAACAACAGGAGAGGAAGCAATGCAGACTGAGCTGAATTTCCCGTTGTTCACGCACATGAGAAACACCAGTGGGAATAGGGAGGAGGAAGTAGAAATTCTCCCAGCTTGCCCTTTCTGTCTCTTCCATGTAGTTATTCCTCAATAACATTTCTGTGAAGTAGGAGGTCCTCTTTCACAAAGAGCTGGCTTGAAGTTCAGTTTACAGTTGGGTTATCCCTAACCTAGCTGAGCTCTAGTCCTTGTAAACAGCCGAGGGGCAGCTGCTGGCAAAATTCAGTCTTTTCTGAGCAGTGCACAGGAATTGATTTTGTTTTTTATTAATTTCTTAGATGGGTGAGGGATACTGTGGGTAATAGGCTTCCGCTTCACCCTACTTCCTAGCAGCTGGCAGTAATATTGCATTAGGTATTTCCTCATATCGCATTTGCTGTGCATGTTTATCAGGAATATTTCATCTTAAATTAAGATGAAGTGGCAGCAGGAGGAACAGCACTAACAGGCTCTTCGTTTTCAGCTGTAAATTAGACAGGAAGGGCTAAAGATGTACATATCCCATTCCCCTACTCAACAGCTACTGTAAATGTTCTGTAGCTGGGGGAGGAGTCGTGGGACAGTTTATGAGGGCAAAAGTATCACAGACATCTCTGATCAAAATCTACATACTACTGTTGTCTCTAGACTTGGTTGGAGATGTCTCCTTCAACAGCAGATTTTGGAAGACAGAGACAGCCAGAGACACCTGTCTGTTGGAACTGTGAAGCACTTGGCGTGGAAAAACAGCCTTTAGTAATCACAACACGCTCTAGACAAGGTTCATGGCCTTCTGTCTCCATGTTATTTGCTTTAGGTTTCCAACAGTTGACACTTAGAAGGCAAGACATTTAGGCTATGTCTACGCTACACACCTTTTAGCAACACAGCTGTGCCACTACAGCCCTACCGCTAAAAGGCATGCAGCGCAGTGTAGCCACTGTTTAGCAGCAGGAGGGAGCTCTCCCACTGACAAAAAACTTCCACCCCGAATAAGCAGCAGTAGCTTTGTCGGTGGAAGAGCTCTCCTGCCAATGAAGTTCTGTTCACATCGCTTTTTGTCTGCAGAACTTTTGTCATTTGGGGGGTGTGTGTGTGTGTGTGTTTTTTTCACACCTCTGAACGACAAAACTTTTGTCGTTCAGTTTCCAGTGTAGACAAAGCCTGAGTCTATTGCTGTTCTTCCAAAGAAACATTCACGCTGCCCCCACTACATCTCAGGCAGGGCAAGGGTTGGCTTATTGCATTCCTAGAAGATTTTGCACCTACATGTTGTCAGATGGCAGTGACAGCTACTTCACCCTCTTACATAGCTCATGATTGAGGGGCTAGCCAGAGTGAAACAATGAGGGCAGAACAGGGAAAAGCAAATCTATGTGCCACTGTTTAAGTAATGTCAACCTATTGTTAGATGTAGTATGTAGAGCAGGGGTCGGCAACGTTTGGCATGCGGCTCGCCTGGGTAAGCACCCTGGCGGGCCGGGCCAGTTTATTTACCTGCTGATGCAGCAGGTTCAGCCAATCGCGGCCCCCCACTGGCCGCGGTTCGCCGTCCCGGGCCAATGGGGGCGGCGGGAAGCGGCGCGGGCGAGGGATGTGCTGGCCACGGCTTCCCACCGCCCCCATTGGCCCGGGATGGCGAACCGTGGCCAGTGGGGGGCACGATTGGCCGAACCTGCCGCGTCAGCAGGTAAATAAACTGGCCCGGCCCGCCAGGGTGCTTACCCTGGCGAGCCGCGTGCCAGACATTGCCGACCCCTGATGTAGAGGCTATGATTTTCTTTTAGCCATAGCTCCTACAAACACCCCATTGCAACCCTGGTAGTTTCCACATTGAAGGCTCTTTTTTCCCCCTCAGGAGTACCCCCCAGACAATCAGATTAAATAAATCGAAGGCTGTAATGCAGCATGAACAAGAAAAAGGACCAGAAAGGAAAGCTGAAACTAATACCCATTTTAAGCCATGCAATTCTATATTTTTTTCCCTTTTTGTGTTGGTATTTAGGGCAGTGCAAACAGCAAACCTCTAACCTATCTTGAGCCCGTTCCATTTTGCAAATGGAAGAAAATAAAGCAGTCACTGACTAGTGTCAATTTAGCTTTACCCAAAAAGCTGAAATGATTAATTGTATGACTGCTCATGTGTGATTCTTCTTTTCTGGTGGACTGACACTATTGCCCATCTGGGAGACTGAAGAGCAGACAAAACATCAACAAACATATACAATAGGAAGAACAGCAAATATTACACAGCACAGTTGACTTCAGAGGTGATTTATGCCACTCTGGTTTCAAAGTATTTACATGAAGGAACTTCTGTCTTCCATGACTAGCAATGTCTTCACAGCAACAGGCCTGCAGTTTTCCTTTCACTCGGAGGGCAGAGATTTTTTTTAAAGTGCCATTATGGGCAGGCAAGTGACTAGAATACTATGTGGTTTTTAAAGATTTACTCTTAGTTGATGCTTTTGTTATCAGACTTGCCTATTTTTACAACTTAAAGTGAGACTATTTTTAATGCCAAGGCAGGTTACTGCTAACCTGAAACTAAAGCCATAGCCTTCCTGCTTCATACACTGTCAGCAATCAAAGATTCTAGCATCAGAATTTAGTTGGCAATGCTGCTGAGGTAACTAGAATTTAGCATCTGATGTTCAGTCTTGTAAATACTACACGACTGACAGCAGAAAAAAATGTAAGTGGGTATTAGAAGATGAGACCGCTATGACTCAGAATACACCAAGCAGCACTATAATGCTGTTTTTAGTCACTTTTCTAATCATAATGCATTTAAGTACTGGGGGCTTTTAAAAATGAATAGGGCTCCATTTTAAAAAAAAGGAAGTTACCACTGTTTTCTGTTTCAGGTCTATTGTTGCATGTGCAAAAAGTGCATAAAAAAAAAGGCGCACAAATTCTTGGTTTAACTTACCTGTTTAAGAAGCAAAATACACTTATGGCTGACAGTTCTTTAAACCAGATTGCATAGCAAGCCTTTGGCCTACTACCTGCCAATTCACAAACTTCATGATAATTTTAACACAGAAAAATACACTTTATGCTTAAATCGCTGTTTCCCCTCCCAGCCCATGATAAAAAAGTTCATTGTCAGGTTATCCATCAATTTCAATACACTGGAAAGTGGGAGTTCACAAACACACCACCAGATGGCAATGTTTAGGAGCCCGTTTGAAAATGTAACTTTGCTTAGCAACAATTCCTGAACTTGAGTGTCGATTCCACCCCCATCCCTCACATACCAATAGAGAAAGGAGCTAATCACCAACTTCTTGACCCAGTGCTTAATTAAAAAGTCTCAGTAATACTCCCCTCCCTCTCCCTTGCCCCAAGGGCCATGTTGACTGGTTGTGTTTATTTGTATGTACCCTGTGCAGAATTGCTAGAGCAGTAAAAACCAGAGCATGGGAGGGAGAGGCAGAGGGGGGAGGAAGCCCAGGCCTGCTGAGGGCAGTTTAGATGCTGTGAAAGAAAAATTAAACCTGTTCTAAGTGTACTTGTTTGAATTAATTGTAATGTAATATATTATTTGTTGAATGTAGTAATTAGGTATTTATGAATATATTGCTGTAATTTCTGACAACATCCAAAAAATAAAATTGTCCTAAATCATGGCAAAGGATTGTTTTTCCCTCCCCCTAGTGGATGGAAAAGTTACACTGATCCAGCGTGAAGGACAACATGTACAATGCACTACCATTATTTACAAGATTCAAGCAAAAAGGCATTGTGTGGTTGACACTACATCATGGCATTTAGCCAGTACCCAGCACAGACTCTACAAGCTGTTTTAAGGCAGGGGTGAAGCATCTGAGCAGCTTACACATAGGTCAGGGGATTTGTTATTTCAGAAGGATCAAGTCAGTGCAGAGTAGCCTACCTCATTACAGCATCAGATACATAGGCCACTTCACTCACACCCACTTGACGATAATGCGATACATACAAGTTAACCAGAGACTACATAAGAGACAGTGGGATAGCAAAAACAGCATAGGGGAAGCTCAGAAGGGAGTAGATAGTGGGAGCTATTTGGAAGACAGTTCAATTGTTGGAGAGTAAAGGCAGTAGGGAAACATTTGTCCGAAGACATGAGGAACGTTATGGTGATTAAATACTACTGCCTGATGAGAGCCATGGACAAGAGACTTGCTTTCCATTGAGCGAAGGGCAGCCCCCATACACATTCAGCTACATTTGATTCCTTGCAGTGTTCACAGAGATGTGACTGCTATAATTGAGCCTAAAACTGACAGTAAGACCAGTTTATAGATTCTGAGATAGACAGGGACCCCCACATCAGCTGCAAAGGGCAAGAGAAGAGGAGGTGTTTTCACACAATACCATCTTGATCTTCACACAATTAATGTACGGTAAAGGAAAAGGAGTCTTATTCTTCTGACAGACAGTTCACTCTTTTTTATGCCTGATTTTTTTTTTTTTTTTTAAAACAAATAGTAACTTCAGTCAAAAGATCAAATGTACAATACGTCACGGTGACATGTCTTCCAACCATCCAGAATATTTCGTTCTGCTCCTCCAACTGGATTTTGGACCCACTTCTTAGTCTCCCAAACAGCCGGCAGCTTGGCTAGGCTCTCCCCTTTACTGCTGTCCACATAGAGCCTAGCACAGCAACTGGCATGTTGTCTGAGATTAGATTCAGTGCAGTGGGAGCTAAGATGCATCATAATCTCTTGCTTTCAAATGATCACCTACCCCCACAGCATTCAGGAACATGCTCTATGAACACCACCTAATATGCTCTCTAGTGCAGAGATTATGATAACATTCATATTCAGGAAAATCAACAAAGGGATTTTTTTTTTTTTTTTTTTTTTTTAAAGTGTACATGAGCGAGAAATGCTGCTGGTAAGCCACCACCTGCCACAGCTGCATCCACACCGAATAGCTCAGGGGCCTGCTAGAAGCAGTACCTGAACCAAATGAGGTAGTGTGTGTTCTCTTTAAAGCTGTATCCTCCCACTGAGGGAAAAATACAAAGCTACAAGTGCACAGAGAGAGAACTGTGCACTTAAGTGGCCTTGGCAAGCCAGCCACGTGAGCTCATCTCTCAGCTGTGCTCAGAGATGAATGTACTGTTGTGATGGCCCGGTTGAAGAAACAAGCCTTACGATGCAATAGAGTTGGGTTAAAATCCATATATCACTCCGTAGCCCAGGGAAGCCCCAGGACTGCTGTGCATCCAGGTGTTCAAAACAGTCCCATTCTGTGATCTTCCTCAACCAGGCTTTAGACAACCCAGAGGAAGGAAAAGAAGAGCAAGACACTAAACTAAGAGCATATTTATTACTGCTACATATCATTTAAGAGATATTAAATCCCCATCCAATAAGGCAATAACAAGAAAAACCTCCCAACAGCATCTAACTGCTGCAACCAATTCATCTTGCAAAGACAGCTGCACAGGGGCTGGGAGAGTTCTGCCAGGTAGAATCATTTGTTTTGCCAAGGATGCTCATTACAGAGCAGAAGCTGTTCACGATAGCAGCTGAGCAGGAAATGCCCTCTGTGCCATTAGCAGTCCTCAAACTTATTAATATGCAGCCACAAGACTGCCTTCTTTCTATTGCCTGAACACACACACGATACAATTGACAGGAAATGTGTAAGATTTGTATGGTTTTTAGCAGAGATCTATACAGGGTATTTAAGGCATAAAAACAGCATAAGGCAAGTTGCATTAGGACTCATTAATAGTGCCCACAGGGCAGAGTCCTCCTACTATTATTGCCTCATCCCATGAGGGTTTTAGACTGTCAGAAGGCATCTTAGAAATCCTGGGACTGGGCACTCTCACCCGGCTGAAGGTTTGTGCGTAGTTTGTACATGTGATCTAAGGCTTGAGTAAGAAAAGTCCCAGTGGTGTTGATCTCCATCAAGGTCAGATTATCCAGCTAAAAGACAAGGAGGGTGACATTACAGCAGTATTTGGGGAAGCAGCACTACAATCTCTCACAATGGCAAAAGGAAGGTCAGTCTATGGACAAGTCGACATAAGTTACGTCAACATATACCCACTGCAGTAATTAAATCGATTTTTCACGTCCACACTACCCTCCTCCTGTTGGCAGTGCATGTCCTCAACAGGAGCACTTCCACCAATTTAAATGACAGTGTGGGGCACTGTGGAACACTGAAAGCCCGGAGCCCAGCCACTAGGGGCTGACAGCCGGAACAGTAAATGCAGTGTCTATAGTGATACTGTGTCGACTGAACTACATCGACCTAAGCAGCTACACCTCTTGCAGAGGTGGAGTTTAAGGTCAGTGTACTGGGTGACTTACATTGTCAAGAGCTACATTGTAGTGTAGACACTTAGAGCTGAAAGAAGCACAACATAATAGCCATATGGAGTTTTTTACTCCACATGGCTATAGTTCTCAACTGAGAAGTAACCAAATCACTGGGGGGGGGGGGGGCGGGGCGGAGCTACAACTGGAACGTTTACTAGCAGTATTAATCATTCACAAGCCACATAATCTCACAGCATCTTGAACATTCCCAGGCCAAAACTAGCAGACTTATCAGCCCACCCCAGATTTCCCGTACTGTACCTTGGCATGGGCCTCCTGCTGTCTGACAAAGCTGTCTGCAGACAGCCGCAGTTTAGCTATCCGCGTATCCCAGGTATCCTTAACCAGTGTTCGGATTTCATCTGCTTTCGGGATGCTGTCTGAGGCACTAGAAGAGGAGGAGGTAGGTCAGAACAGGCTGCAAGGGACTAATAAGTTAAGTCTCTGGCATGAGTAACACTGGCAGCTTCTCGAATCTCTGAAGCATGAGCAGAGTAGTTTGCATTATACAAAGAGCGAACACTGAAATCCAAAGTGCTGCGGCTTCTACAGCTGGGGTTTTCTGGATACTTGATTTACCCAGGAAAGCTCAGTTTTCAATACAATCCTTCTGGTCTTTAATTGCCCAGCTGGTCTGGAATACCAGGAAGTCACAACAGCAACTCAATGGCTCAACTGTTATTGGAGCTCAAGTTCAGCCCAGTACGCTTACCACTCAATCACAAGGACCATACAGGTTGTACCACGTAACATCCTAATGGTTAGGCAATTAAATACTTCCACAAGGACGTCAAGAGATCAGATCAATTCACCTGGACAGAAGTGTCATGATTATTCTAGTGTAAGGAAAGAGTCTGCATGCTAAGATGTCGTAAGCATCAGAAGAAACAGTTGGGCTTCAAATAGCCAGTCCTCTGTAATCAAGGGCTTTTCAAGTCAGAAGGGTATGTGCTTAGTAGAGTAGTTCTCAACCAGGGGTACTTCAACTCATCTAGGATATTTGCCTAGCTTTACAACAGCATAAAAAGCACCAGCAAAATCAGTACAAACTAAAACTGCATACAGATGACTTGTTTATACGTCTCTATATACACTGAACTGTAAATATAGTATTTATATTGCAATTGATTTATATGGTAAAAATGAGAAAGTAAGCAATTTTTCATAATAGTGTGCTGTGGCACTTTTGTATTTTTATGTCTATTTGCTTACAAAATCAGTTTTAAAGTGAGGTGAAACTTCAGGTATGCAAGACAAATCAGACTCCTGAAGGGGGTACAATAGTCTGGAAATGTTGAGAGCCACTGGCTTAGAAGAAATACCAGCCAGAATGCTAATTTTATGGTAATGAAATGTTTTAGCAGACATGACAGCTTAGAGCAGGGGTCCGCAATGTTCGGCATGCGGCTCGCCAGGGTAAGCACCCTGGCGGGCTGGGCCAGTTTATTTACCTGCTGACGCGGCAGGTTTGGCCGATCGCAGCCCCCACTGGCTGCGATTCACCGTCCCAGGCCAATGGGGGCGGCCGGAAGCTGCGCGGGCGAGGGATGTGCTGGCCGCGGCTTCCCGCCGCCCCCATTGGCCCGGGACGGTGAACCGCGGCCAGTGGGGGCTGCGATCAGCGGAACCTGCCGCGTCAGCAGGTAAATAAACTAGCCCGGCCCGCTAGGGTGCTTACCCTGGCGAGCCGCATGCCAAACATTGCCGACCTCTGGCTTAGGGTCAGGACATCCCCAATCCCTGCTCTGTAGGCTGAGAAGGGAAGAATTTCCAATCTCCTAAAGGGTACCCTAACAGCAGCAGAGGGCGGAGAAGTCTGGAAAGATTAGGCTGCTGGGCCTCTCAGGTAGATTGAAAGAGCTATGAATCTGTATAAATGAAGCTAAAAAATATGCTAAATACATCCAGAGCCACTACACTTAGTTACTTCTGTAGGCAACGTTGCAGTCCAGTTATCACACCACAGAACAAGTGAATCAAGTTAATAAATACAAAGGCTACCATTAGGTAAGTGCCCAAGCAAAATCTTGATGTACTTTGGAGTAAGCCTCCTATTAACACTTTCTCAAAGGCCTCCAAATTTAAATCCAATGAAATCCTAAAAGCTTTCCTGTGTCACGACTCACATTCCTGAATATTTACCAATGTCAAACCCCACTGGGCAGGGAGGAAAGTGTCTTTGACTGGTTACAGTAAGAGACCTACTTACTAGTTTAACAGCAGCTTAGTTAGTTCCATGTAGTAGGGACTGGGCATTGGAGTGAAAGTGTCCTCTTTGCGTTCCTGATCCCGGATTTCCTCCAGCTTTTCTGAAACACAATTGGAAGAGTCATACTTTACTAGATGCTTCAATGCTCTGGTGTCAAGTCCCCTCGACCAACCTTGCAGGATGAGCTGCCAGTTTTGTGTTTACATCAGGTGGAATCAGCACTTAGGTGGAGACACCAGAGGCTGCAGGAGAAACAATTCTAATGCCCAAAAGTTGCTCTGATCTCATGTCTAGAAGCAAAAAGTGGACCTCAACTCATATGGGAGAAAGGGACCACCACCAACCCAGGATTGCGGTGACAGGAACTGAGGAGCAACATTCAGTCCTACATAGCTAGAAGGATGAATCACCATCACCACTTGGGACATGAGGAGAGAAGGAGTCACATGCCTGGAGAGAAAGCTCCTCCAAAAAAGGAACCTTTCTGCCAAGTAACATTTTGGCTCACTGATTTGCATTCTCTGAATGAAAAAAATGTGGAAGAGGGAGAATGTTTAGCGACAAAAGCCTCTTCACTCTTCCTGAGATTCCATCATTACCTGCTTCCTGCCCTCCTCAACTACACATTTCCCTCAAGATGGCAGAATGGAGGAACCTAGGATTTTTATTTCTAATGGGAGGAACATACATCACATTGGGGTAAAAATCTCTTCAACTCCTGACTGCCTTCAAGGGACAAAGGAGAATGAGGAGATCAGAACTTCTGTATGCTCTCCAAAGGCCCCTCTTCCCTAGAGATAAAGCTAGAAAAAAGAGAGGTGCTAAAAGGCAGCAGACACCCCCTTTGATTATAACAATACTCTGCATTTTTATTACAAACAAATCTCACCACTGAGGTAGGCAAGTATGATTCTCATTTTACAAGTGGTCAAATAAAGCCAAGAACAGTGAAGTGGCCAGCTGAAGATCACACTGAAACCAGTGGCAGAACTGGGATGCAGTATTTTAAACCAATTTTATGTATCAGAATAATAATATATTCTAACTACACAGATTAAAAATCACAATGATGATATGCTAAGATCACGCTAGTTTGCAGCGTTGTCATAGCCGTGTTGGTCCCAGAATATTAGAGAGACAGGTGGGTGAGGTAATATTTTTTACTGATCCAACTTCTGTTGGTGAAAGAGACAAGACCTGAAGAACAGCTCCGTGTAAGCTTGAAAGTTTGTCTCTTGGAGCAACAGAAGTCAATCCAACAAAAGACATTACCTCACCCACCTTGTCTGTCTAAAATCATGCTAGGTCTTGAAAAACTCAGCAGCACTGCATTAGGCAACGATTGCTCCCACAATTCCATTTGTCCCTGCAACTTTCCCTTGGGAAAAGTGCAAAGGTCCAATTCCTGTATTTCAGGACTCCCCACTAGCCCTGCAGCCTGGCTAAGTCCATGCCTAACCTGTAGGCTAACCTGTTCTCCTTACCAGCATCCATCCATTCAGGAGGTATTAGCCGACACTTCTGTCGCTGTTTTAGGTTAACAGCTAGCCAAAGAGGCACTTCCACAGGCAAGCCAGGATTAAAGGGACCCAAATCCCCCTGGAAAATGAAATTCAGTATGAAAATAAGGGAAGTGTAAGTAACAGGTCATGGAAAACTGTGACACTTCTTTGAAAATCCAGTTTTCCCTCATCAGCCTCACACACTGCTAAAGGATCAACAGTTTCCTGTAGATTTAGGGAAGCCACCCCATGCCAACTGAGATCACCCTTCCTCTTGGTCCCAGATCCCAGCCCAGTTCTCTCTTCCCTTAGCAGTAACTACTTACATTTTGATGGCACTTTCTACCCTAAAGGTTTCATAAGCTGGAGATGAAAATTACTTCTCCCATCACTGAAACGTAGCCACTTGGCGGTGGGTGGACTATGGGAGAGGTTTTCATAGCAGAACAGCTAGTGCAGGGCAGTAAGTGCAGGTGATTCTTGTATCCACTGACGCTGCAGGGATTCTTGTATCCACTGACGCTGCAGGGGGGATCTGGGCTAACAGGCAGTTAGCCAAAGGGGATGTGGAGGTTAGGAAGAGCCGGGGGGGGGGGTAATGCAACGTTCACAACGGGGCACTTTGCTGTTGCTCCACTAGGGGCTTTGCAATCGCTATGGATTTTACAGGCAGGCGCCCAGCCCCCCTGGGGTGCCAGTAGCCCCACTGCGGAGCGGGTCAGCCCCGAATGGCTCTCCGACCCTGGCCCCTGCCAGTGGGCCAAGGCCGTCTGCCACACAGCCTCCCCGCAGCCGAGCCCCGGGCCAGCCCATCGCCACACCCTGCTTCCCTATGTTAGATCACTGCGCCCCCTCCCCCCCAATGGGCCATTCCCGCCCCTCAGCCGAAGACACCCCAGCGCCCAGCCCCCACCCAGCCCCACTTGCTTGCACCCCGCCCTCACGGCCCGGCCCCTCGCTACCCTCCCAAACACGCGCCGGTCCCGCCCCTCAACCCCAGGGCCCCGCACCCCGATGAGGTAGATCCGGTCCAGGCTGAAATTGGGGATGACGGTCACCAGCTCCTTCTCGGCCAGGAACTCAGCCTCGGCGGGATCCATGGCCCTGAGGGGGCGCCGCCGCCGCCGCCAACCCGCCGGAACTGGAACTCGCAGCACGCGCGCGCCAGCCTCCACCCTTTGCCATTGGCTGGGAGGAAGATAGACCCCGCCCCACCACATACCTTCGCCGGACGCTGGCTGTATTTAGCAGCGCGAGACGCTGGCTGCGCTTTCCCGGTCTCGGGCTCGCCGAGAGGCTCTGATTGGCTTATGAACTCATATTCTCTCTCTGATTGGCTTAGTCACATACCCCGTGCTACGCGATTGGCTGAGCGGCTAGTATTATTTCCAGCCAATCAGAACGCTCTGGAGCGCAGCTCCTCCGGCTGGGCGGGAGAACGGTCCCTTGAGGGAGGATGTTCCCCGCCAAGCAGCGCTGCCCGCGGGATGCCGCCGGCCTGTGCAGGGGCAGTGACTCAGGCCCGCTGCAGCCTTCGGGCCTGGCTGAGTCCGCCCTGCCGTGTGTCATAGACCCCGCGCCGCGCCTTCCCGTGGGGGATTCCCCTCAGGGCCTGGAGTCCCCCTCCCAGTCCCTTGCCTCCTGCCCCGCCCCTCCAGCCCCCAGGGGAACAGAGCTGCCCCTGCTCCAGATGTTTTAGGTTAGGGGCCAATTTCCCCTCCTGGGCATCTTGCGCCATGTCTCCAGCCGGCTGCAGGACTCCAGAGCCATCTCTCTCCTTTGCAGCCTGGGGGCCTGTGCTCTGCTCCCCTCCCTCCTAATCAGCATCACCTTTGCAGCCGTGCTCCACTGGGCCTTGGCACCCCTGGCACCGACCCTGAGCGGGCTGAGCAAGGCCTGAGACTTCAGCCAAGAGCCCGAGTCTCAGCCCTGGCCTCCCCTGGGGTTTTAGGCACGGGGCACAGTTTACACCTCTGCCAAAGGTTTGCACAAGTACAGCTACGCTGCAGGTAAACACCTGACCTCGCTGTAGATGCCAAAAGCAGGGAGAGCGGGAGCATCTGAGTTCCCAATCCTCTGCTGCCTTTCACCTCTCTACTGTTCTTATATGGTCCCCAATCCCCATTACCATAGTATCTGAGTGAGTCACAGCCTGTAATCTGTTCTGCCAGTTTGGTTTAGGCATTTGACTCTTCACTCTGTATTTCTTTAATTGCCGGTTTACGGAATTGCTGCTTTGTTTTCCCATCGCTATCCTTGACAGTGGTGTGTCTTGGACCGAGAAGGGACCTTGATTCATTAATATTAATAAGATAGCACCTAGAGGCCAAGGCCCTATATTACTAGGCACTGTACAAATGTATAACAGATAGTCCCAGCCCTGAAGAGCTTATGCTCTAGTGTAAGATCACGGTCAACCGATGGATACAATAGACAACCGGGCTGAGCCCAAGGAAATAAAGAGATGGCATTAATCAGCATGAAAAACAGCAGTCCCAGCAAACCAGCTGCCTGCCTGCCCACAATCATTGCTGGGTATGTTGTGAGCATCACAGCAGAGAAGTATTTTAAGGAGGGATTTTTCAACTATTCCTCACCTCTGATCTTGATCCTTCTCCCCGTCACTTGGTAATTAAAAAGAAAAAACATCTCCAAACACCCAGCAATCAATGTGTTTAAGAAGGGAGGATGAAGGGATAATCACTAGCAGACAGCATGGATTTACCAAGAACAAATCATTCCAAACCAGCTTGATTTCCTTCTTTGACAGGGTAACTGATTTGGTGGCTAGGAGGAATGCGGTGAACATAATATACCTGGACTTCAGCAAGGCTGTTGACCTGATACTTTGATAAATAAGCTGGAGCAATGCGGGCTTGACAGAACTACTATTAAGAGAACGTAAGAATGGCCGTACTGGGTCAGACCAAAGATTTATCTAGCCCCATATCCTGTCTTCTGACAGTGGCCAATGCCAGGTGCCCCTATACTTGGCAAGATAGAACTAAAATTCAGAGGGATCTTGATAAATTGGAGAACTGGGCTATAAACAACAAAATGAAATTCAAAAAAAACAAATGGGGTTACAGTGGACAAGAAGCTGGATATGAGTCAACAGTGTGCCCTTGTTGCCAAGAAGGCTAACGGCATTTTGGGCTGTATAAGTAGGGGCATTGCCAGCAGATCGAGGGACGTGATCATTCCCCTCTATTCGACATTGGTGAGGCCTCATCTGGAGTACTGTGTCCAGTTTTGGGCCCCACACTACAAGAAGGATGTGGAAAAATTGGAAAGAGTCCAACGGAGGGCAACAAAAATGATTAGGGGGCTGGAGCACATGACTTATGAGGAGAGGCTGAGGGAACTGGGATTGTTTAGTCTGCAGAAGAGAAGAATGAGGGGGGATTTGATAGCTGCTTTCAACTACCTGAAAGGGGGTTCCAAAGAGGATGGATCTAGACTGTTCTCAGTGGTAGCAGATGACAGAACAAGGAGTAATGGTCTCAAGTTGCAGTGGGGGAGGTTTAGGTTGGATATTAGGAAAAACTTTTTCACTAGGAGGGTGGTGAAGCACTGGAATGGGTTACCTAGGGAGGTGGTGGAATCTCCTTCCTTAGAGGTTTTTAAGGTCAGGCTTGACAAAGCCCTGGCTGGGATGATTTAGTTGGGAATTGGTCCTGCTTTGAGCAGGGGGTTGGACTAGATGAACTCCTGAGGTCCCTTCCAACTCTGATATTCTATGATTCTATGAAATGTAAGGTGCTACACTTAGGGAAGAAAAACCAAATGCACAAATACAGAATGGGGGAAAACTGCCTTGGCAGCAGCACTGCTAAAAGGGATCTAGGAGTTGTGGTGGATCAAAACCTCAGCATGAGTCAGCAATGCGATGCTGTTGCAAAAAAAGTAAATGCAGTTTTAGATTGCGTTAACAAGCATAGCATGAAAGTCATGGGAGGTGATAGTACCACTCTACTCGGCACTGGTTAGGCCTCAGATGGAGTACTGTATCCAATTTTGGTCTCCAATGTATAGAAAGGATGTAGAGAAACTGGAAAGGATTCAGAGGCGAGCAACAAAGATGATCAAAGGGATGGAATGCAAGCCATATGAACAAAGACTGAAGGAACTGAGTACTTTTAGTTTGGAAAAGAGGAGATTAAGTGGGGATATGACAGTGGACTTCAGATACTTGAAAGGCTGCCATGAAAAAAGATGAAGAAAAGTTGTTCTCTTTTGCCAAAGAGGACAGGACAAGAGGCAATGGGTTCAAATTACAGTTCAGCAGATTTAGATTAAATCTCAGGAAAAACTTTCTAACTCTAAGAACAGTAGGACAATGGAACAGACTGCCTAGGGAGGTTGTGGAAGCTTCTTCACTGGAGGTTTTCAAAAGGAGGCTGGAGAGCCATCTGTCTTGGATGGTTCAGACACAACAAATCCTGCATCTTGGCAGGGGGTTAGACTAGATGATCCTTGTGGTGCCTTCTAACCCTATGATTCTAAGAAAAAAACAACAAATAAAACTGTCAAGACACATTGAAGATGTTAATGTCCAAAGTTATGCAGGGGAAAGAAAAAAATAAAAGGCTTTTATCCCGGAGTGATTTAGAGCACTGTCAGCCAGGCTGTTAGGTTGTCAGGTTGTCATGGAAACAGAAAGCCTTCAAACAATATTAGCAGTGACAGATCTATTTAATGGTGTGTTCGTGTGATCCTGTTCAAAACACCACCTATTTCTCTGTCTTGCCTCCGTCGTGTCCCAGCAACAGCAGCACCCTTGATGCAATGGGAAGAATAAAAAGGACCCAGTGTCAGGTATACTGCGTTTCCCCACAAAAAGTCTTTCCCAGGGAGCCACTTTTCCTCTTCTTACCCCTCATCAACCACTCCGTTATTCTCTCCTTCACCCAAACCAGGATCTATAGCAGTGAGAGCTGAGCCGCTCTACATTGCATGAATAAAAATGAAAAACGGTAGCACCATAGTTGCAGGATGATAATAATCCCATTTTGCAGCTGTCACTCAAAGGCCTTGTTATGGCTGAGTCTGATTTTCCTTCACTCTGCTCTCACCCCCTTCCCATAAAAAACAAATCGAAGCGCCATCTTGCTCGCAGCAGCTGCCAATGGTTCCTATCGATTGATTTTTAGCGATCGATAGTTTATGACTCCCTAAGGGCTTTTTTTTTTAATTAAGTGAGTTTTGTGTGTATGAAAAGTGCCAGACGGGCAGCTCCGCAGGCCTCTGTTTATCAGTGGAAGAGGGACAGCATCAGGAGTGGCAACGGCAGGGCAAGCTGCCCCTGCTTACTGCCCCCGGCAAGGTGTCTCATTTCTGACCGGGGGAACCATCTGTTGGGGGGGTGAAAGCAGCTTAGTCTCCATCACTCGATCACCCTTGGCTTCCTTGCTGTGCCTGCCAACAAGGAGGGACCAAATAGTGCCAATTGCAATATCACTAACCCCAAGCATTTAAAAAAAAAAGGCGTCGGGCCCCAAAACGTGAGATTGGTTTGAAAATCATGAGATTTTTAACACTAATACATGTGCGGTCCTTTTTATCCACTTCCTGGTTTCTAAGCCCTTAGACCTCACCTTTTTCAGCTCTCCTCCACAACAATCAGGGCTAAAAAATGACTTCTTGTTTTAAAGGGAGTTCTTTCATAGAGATTCTCATGGAAGATGGAACCACCAGTCTCCGGGAGCTGAGGCTTTAAGAAAAACATCAAATATCATGAGCGCTGGCTGGCAACACCAAAACCAGACGCGAGTTTGGTTTTGGAAACGGTTGTCATTGGCTTGTCTCCATCTCAGCCATGATTTCAGCCCCAAACCAGGCAAAACTCAATGATGATGCTTGAGTACGCTTTTGACATTTTGAGTTTGTTTGAACCCCCGCATTCAAAACAAAACTCAGGTGCAAACCCCAGCCCCCGGAAATCAAAACACAGAAGCCTCACGACGCAACCCTTAGCAATGGTAATCACCAGATTTCTGACAGCTCTGATCTTCACAGGTTTAAAGAGCAACTCTAACACTGGAGCAAACCTGAAACAGTGAAAAGAGTAACTCACAAAGAAATTGTGTTAGGTAAGCAC